AGTAACATATTATTAGCCGTAAACCATTTTAAAACATAAGAAAGAGCACCGTTTACTTCGTCCAAATCATCAATATGTCGATTGACTTTGAATACTAATGAAGTATCATCAGCAAACAGAACTATGTCAGCTATCTTTTCTACCATATAAGGAAGATCATTTATGTAAACTAAAAATAAGAAAGGACCTAAAATAGAGCCCTGAGGAACACCCATTTTAATACTAGTTCCCTCAGACTTTACACCATTTATTTCGACAACTTGCGTTCTATTATTTAGATAGGATTTCATCATGCTATGTGCTTCATATCTAATACCGTAATGTTCAAGTTTGAGCAAAAGTGTTTCATGTTCAACGCAATCAAATGCTTTTGAAAGATCACAAAATACACCGACTGCATCCTGAGACCTCTCCCAAGAATCAAATATATATTTAATGAGAGCTACACCGGCATTAGTAGTTGATTTACCGGCCGTGAAACCAAATTGTCGACTGTGAAGCAGTTTATTTACTTTAAAGTGTTGCAGCATTTGATTGAGCATAATTTTTTCAAACACTTTACTCAATACTGGTAAGATAGATATAGGCCTATAATTACCTACCACAGTTTTTTCTCCTGACTTAAAGAGTGGAGTTATTTTGCTATGTTTCATTAAATTGGGAAAAACACCATTAGAAATACATTTATTGAAAATAATTACTAAATATGGAGCAATAACATCTATAGCGGTGTTAATAACTTTAACAGACATGCCCCAATGGTCTTCAGTATTTTTTAAATTTAATTGTTTAAATGTTTTAGTAATTGTAACAATGTCAATAAAGGTAAATTTAAATATAACCGGACAAGAAACAACATTGTCAATAAGGAATGATTTAGCTGTACTAGGAGAAGAGTCCAAAGAGGAAGTAATATCAGTTGGAATATTTGCGAAAAAATTTTCAAAAATATTGACAATTTCTTTTGTGGACGTTACTAGTTTATCATTATAATTTAACGTAAAATCGTTAAATGGACTTTTAACTTTGCCAGTTTCTTTGTTAATAATATTCCACACTGTCCTTATCTTATCCTTGGACTCTTTAATTTTTTTATTTAGATAATTAGACTTTGCTACATTACATACCTTTTTAAAAGTTTTTGAGAATCTTTTTACATAATTTACGAATGTACTATCGAAACGGTATTTTTTTTGAGCATATAAATCAAATAATATATTTCTACTTTTAAGAATTCCCTTTGTAGCCCATTCTGAAAATTTTGTTTTGTTAATAATGCTGATAGTTTTTTTGTTAACAGCCTTATTATATTCGTTAGAAACAATATTGAAGAAATCTGTATAAAGTTTGTTAGGTTCATTAGATGGAAGATAAAAATCTAATTTACTACGAACTGATATTTTAAATTTATTTATCTTATAACTAGTCAAATCTCTTTTTAATAAATTAATTTTCCCAATTTTGTTTAAGTGATTTGGAAAAATAACTATTTGACCACAGTGATCAGAAGGAAGGTTGTTTATTATTATTTTAGTTTAGAAGGTTGTTTATTATTAGTCAATGAGGTAAACCGCTCCATGTTGTAATTTCCCAACTCTATTAATTTATCCAGCGATTTACCATAATTATTAATTTCAAGTTGAGCACACTCATATTTTTTTGTTAAATTAGATAATGAAGATTCTAACTCTTGAATTTTACTCTTTAATTTATTTTGTTCTAAATCCTTATCATGTAAATTTGTTTTACAATTTTGAAGTTCTTGTAACAGGTCTAATTTTTTTCTTCTAATATTTATAGATTTTAAACATTTAGTATGAGTTCTCACTAACTTTTCTGACTTTTTAATAAATTTGTTTATTTTTATATATTTTTTTAATTTATTGACACTATTAAATTGACTAATACAACTATTTGAGTTGAGATTTTTCCAGATCTAATGAAAGTGAGTAAAATAATACCGCTATTTAAATCTGGTGACAAAGACAATATATCAAATTTTAGACCTATCTCAATTTTACCAGTATTTAGTAAGATTTTTGAAAAGATACTACTTACACAAATGTTAGCTCATTTTAATACACATGATTTATTTCATAAACAGCAATTTGGATTTATGAGTGGACGGTCTACTACTGATGCAGGCATTAACTTAATACAAAGTATTTTCGGTGCCTGGGAAGATTCACAGGATGCCATTGGTGTCTTCTGTGATCTCTCTAAAGCGTTTGATTGCGTTGACCATAGGATATTATTACGCAAACTAGAGCATTATGGAATTAGAGAAAAATCCTCAGAACTCATTGGATCATATTTGCGCGATAGAATTCAAGTGGTAGACATTAAAGGAAGCAAGTCCAAGGGGTCATTTATAAAAATGGGTGTACCCCAGGGTTCTATACTTGGCCCATTTCTTTTTCTTGTTTATATAAATGACTTACCATACCAGTTTCAAAACATACTTGACATAGTATTGTTTGCTGATGACACATCACTTATTTTCAAAGTGAAAAGAAATACAAAGGATTTTAATAATATAAATATTGCTCTTGAGGATGTTCTAAACTGGTTTACATCAAATAATCTAGTGCTTAATTCAATGAAAACAAAATGTGTTAAATTCTCTTTACCAAATGTAAAACAAGTAACGACAACTGTTAGTATGAATCATCATGTTTTGGACTTTGTTGATGAGACTTCGTTTCTTGGTATTGTAATAGATAATAAATTGCAGTGGGGTCCACATATATTCACACTAGCCAAAAGACTAAGCTCGGCTGCTTTTGCTATCAGAAAAATTAGACAATTGACTGATACTGCAACAGCGAAACTAGTGTATTTTAGTTACTTCCATAGTATAACGTCGTATGGTATTATATTGTGGGGAAGAGCGGCTGATGTAGAATCAATTTTTATATTACAAAAAAGAGCAATTCGTTCAATATATAATTTACCGTGTCGCGAATCTCTTAGAGAACGCTTTAAAGAAACAGGTATTCTTACTGTTCCCTCTCAATATATATATGAAAATATTATGTATGTACGTAAAAACTTAAATTTATTTCCAAAAAATAGTCACTTACACGCTTTTAATACAAGGAATAAAAATAAATTAAATATGCCTAGTTATCGTCTTAAAAAAGTAAGTACATCTTTCATGAGACATTGTATACGTTTTTATAATAAATTGCCAGATAGTGTTTTAAATTTAAGTGAAGCCAAATTTAAGATACATGTAAAAAAAACACTTTGCTCTAAAGCTTATTATAAAATAAACGACTACTTAAATGACTACAATGTGTGGACTTAATTACAATTTTAACTTTTGTTATGAGGCATATAATTTTTCCCATTGACATGGATAATGTAATAACAATAAACTTATTATAAATTTTGTAATGACATATTGTAAATTAAATAATGTAAATTTAATATTGTAATGGGTGAAAACTGTGATCGGTACAGCCTATGCTGTAAATAATATAATTGACGTAGTGGAGTAACCTGAAACAGTCATGCTCGCTATAAAGTTCAAACTTGTGGCGGCGTGGTGGGCCGGGTCGATGTGCTCCCTCAAATATGGTTGAGTATAATGATGGCTGGCTCATACGTCATACTCGTGAACGGGTGCTGCTTGTGGGGACTGGTCTGTTCAGGTTGTGAACACTGATTAAATTTTTTGTTCTTTGCGATAGCATATGCTGGTGGTCACTCTATTCTCCCAAATTTGAATTTTAATAACTGTATTTATCATAAACATGTTCCACTATTATTTGAAAAAAATTACGAGCTGAGTTTCTTGTCAGTTCTTCTCATCTCGATATCATTCCGAACTGACGGTAGATTTGACATATCATAAGAGTCTGTAATAGACCTACATGAATAAAGATATTTTGAATTTGAATTTGAATTTGTATTAGTTAAAGCTATGGTCATCAACGGCTGAGTAGACTTTTGATCACAAGTGACATTTAACAATTCTGTATACAGATCTAATCTATGGAAAAGACGCAACCAATGACGACAACAGTGACATAATGATGTCCAGAATATGATGCCAGTGGTATGTCCAATGCCCATTCTGAATAAATATTGAAAATAAATACACGTATGACTATTTTCGTATTCGTTCTTGAAATAAAGAAAGAAAACAATGAGAAAGAAGCAACCGATTCGTGTAAGTGCTTCAATCCTAACTTCTGAAATCATCTACTCTAAATGAGAGTTTCTTTGAATTTAATTTTACTAAAGATTACAATTACACGTTTTACAAGATTCGAACTCATTTATTTTCAGCGAACAAATTATTTTTCGTGAAGCAAATTAATTCGCTAGCATTATACTTCTTTCAAGATCTGAATAAATTTGAGCGAGATTTCATAAAAAATAGACGGTCGGGGCCCGCGGCTAACGCCAAATTACGTCTTTATTTACAAGTACCTAAACATTTTCTTCTCGCTGGAGAGCTGGAATGAAATATTTGAATCGTACCTAGTTGTACAGTCACTTCTCCATGAAATGATAAAAAGTTCTCTGTTAGGGTTAACTAAGTAAATGATATATTTTAAAAAGTCTTGCCTAAAAATATAAATATATAGCCAACGGTATGTATTGAAATAAATTTATAAACTGTAATACTAAATTAACATTTTGGATATATGTAGTTATTAATTTGAAAATTCACCTTAGCTTAGGATGTAGGTACTTAAACATACTAAATATATAGCAACGCGAAATAATTAATTATGGAAAATAATGGAATATTATGTTTATTGAGTAATATATTTTTTATTAATATATTTATCTCTTTAAATTTTGTTATTTCTTTGCTTTGTAAATGTATCTAAAATGTATAATGAATATATTAAAACAAAAACAAGTTCGTTTTCTTTATTTTAAATAAACAACACAGTGAGATGCATATATAATTAACAGTAACTACCTACTCTTAATTTTTATAAACTAGATTACATCCTCCTCATGTCCAAGTTTACGTACGCCTAGAATATGAAGTAGAACTGAAATAAAAATGTGTATTAATTATAAAGCATATAAGATACATATAACACTATAAATAATAATACTGCATCTAGAACAGGGACGATATAGATTCCTTGTTTGTATTAAACTAGGTATTAGACAAAAATGGACAAAGAAGCTACAAAGTTACGTCTTGTTAGATACTTATATGTATATCATTAACTAGGTACTATAGATAATAAATTATAAAAAAAATCTTACATCTGGATCTATTGCATACGAGCATTTGTGAACGTCAAATGCTTTCTGGCAATTGTCCTTATTATTGGTATCTGTCGAAAGAACAAAACTAAAGCTATGAGTATGATTTTAAAATATGTATGATAATTAAACATTGTTAATATGTAGGTACTATAAGACTCTCAATGCTGTGTAATCTAGTCAGTACAGCCAGTCAGTCCAGTATTCGGGCTTCTATGAACTACACCATCAATACTGACATTATAGAAATTGTCTGAAATAATATCATGGATTCAGTGATCCTTAAATATAAATTCTCTATTAAAAATAGAGAATTTATATTTAAGGATCACGATAAGCATTTTATATATAATAGCATATAATATATATACCTAATATATTTTATTACATTATTACCATAGTTTTAGACATAAACAATGTATCAATGTATGTGTCTGCGACAAGGATTTTTAAAATATTATAACTTAAAGTTGACATTAATTGTGGTCAAATTTCAGTCACTGGGCGACCACTAGGTAAATAATTCTGGGGAAGAATATAGTTAGTAATGTGAACTAACAAGCCCAATATTAGCAACGCACTACGTCAGGTTGACGTTCACGCAGATTCCCTAGAAACCATCGTGATAAACCCTGGTGAACTTGCCACGTGGCAAGTTGGGCAAATGACATAACTTGGCTCATCTTATCTTCCTCTACTGCTACCTCGCTGCTGTAACCCGTTAGCGCAACAGTAGATTGTAATAAATAAAAGAAAATTACTTACATCTTCAGTACGTTAAACTGTGTGACTCGCTGTCAAGTATGAGTTTGTTTTAGTATCTACTCGTATATATTCCTGTAGTTAGTGAATATGTAATTAATATACGAGACTATAAATTTTATAGGAATTGATAATGTTTTGATAGTGTGTGATTGTTTATATGTGTCACTATCCTTGGCGGATTACACAACCTTTAAAGATTTTGTAGCTCAATAATAACTCAAAAACAGTCAAATATGATTACCTAAGTGCTTACAGCCATCAATCATAACAGTTGACCTTTGACGGTACTCTTCTGGAATTAAACTTACTAGCATATCATAGTCCACTTGACCGTCATCGTCCACCTAATACAACAAATACAAAATAAATATACAATATATATTTTAAATTTAAATTAATTAAATAATTATTAAATTCAAAATTATTTCAATATTCAGCCCATGATCGTGGTCAAACATACAACAGTAAGATTTAATATAACTTAAGTTATTTAATTGTGCCATTTTAAATTGAAATAAAAACCATACTAAGTCGTCTGACTAGATAAGTATGCAAGAGTAGGCTATATCTCCATAAGTATTTTCTACCACTATTTTAATCATAAATAGGATAACTTCTACACTTAACAGTCAAAACTAACAGAAGTCTGAATAAGTATTATAAATTAAGCAAATTGAATTAAAAATAAATAAAACTCATGTTTACATCTAATTCTGAAGAGATAAGGGTGAAAAGAGAAACAAATAAAGGATCACTCACAAGATTCAATTCCTCTACCACGCAAAACAGATAGCACTTCAATTTGACGTCGTCTTTAAATATGCCGTTTTCGCAATTCGTTATGTCCTCTGGGGGACAAGAATAAAGACTCTTTAATGTACAATAACATGAGACACTGTATTTCGAAACAATAACAGTCAAACAAATGTTAAAGATACATTCTTTCTTCTTCGAATCAAATGCAATGGTATTCATTAAATATTTTATACGGGTACTTTGAAAATACCTATAGCTCAAAAAGAAAAGGAAAAGTTACTAAAATATGTATAGAAAAAACTAGTCATGAAGTAGGTGATCCTATATAGACATAGATAAGATAATATTACATAATATAAGGTCACAATAATATACAACATACTTTAATACAAAATACATTTTGTTTGTTTGTCTGTTTTTACGGTGTCCATAAAGCTTCTGCGATAAAGCAATATTTGTCTAATTCTTCGGCTCATATACATAGCAAGAATTGCCCTGTTGATTGAAAATAAGATCTAATAGAAAATATAGGTGGTTTGGTTAGTATAAAATTGGTTTTTGTCACACAGCTTTATTTTATTATGATGTATACAATATTCTTATATATATATATATATATATATATATATATATATATATATATAATTATAAATAAGAAGTGGCGGGTGTAGTTACCTACGAATTTCTAAATCTCTCTATTATATAGCATAATTTGGATAGACAAATTAACATAGTTATTACTTTTGTCGTAAATATATTTAATAATTTATTATAAAATTCAAATCATTTGTATCAATTTCGTTAATGTAATAATATACCTACATGTTTATTTTTAAACTGTTTGTAGTAGGCACTAAATATATATCGTATAAAAAATACCATAGAGAAAAAATATTCCAAAATTAGTATATTTTTTTAATATACTATAAATGCAATTTTTATTTGCTTATAATAGATATAGTGTATACAAACTATATATACTTATTTTTATTTATCAACTTGCCTTCAGCTACCTTGGTTTTGGTAACACATTCGTTATGAACTATCTCCATTATTTCTTTGATTTCATCACTGAATACCTGAAACATATTCGGTAAATAATATTAGATAAGAGCATTTTCGCGTATCCACTGATCTTATGATGGTATAAAGGTAAAGGAAAGCCGTACCTAATTTCTAACAAAAATATTCAGAAGGCAGAAATTATCCCAGTAAAAAAGCCATGTCTTTTTCTTATAACATCAATGACAACACGAAAATACTTTTTGTTTGTTCATGAAAATATTTGAAATACATCAACGGTTTCATATGAAGTAGGTAAGGATATGCCTACTTATATTTACGTGTACAATTAAATGCAGACTTCTGCTGACTGTGATTACAGCAGCTACCTATTAACATAATCAAGAAGTCTCCAACGCCAGCAATAATATACAATTATGTTAAATATATTTTACATATATACTCACAATATCTACTTTCTACTAAAGCTGAGTATATCATGTAGGGACTGAGATTGGATATACATATGTAGGTACTCCTATAAGCTGCGCTATGATTATTGTATTTCGTATTGAGAACTAAAATGAGAGTATCTGTAGACATACTCTCATTTTAATTCTCTATACGAAGCAATATATATTCCGTGCATATATACGGAATAAAATGGCCGAAATAGAGAAGCTATCCATTATTATTATTCAGTGACTAGCGTACCCCTGACTCTTGATCTATATGCGTTGCCTTTGTGAAAACCGGAGGGAAAATAAGTCGTTTCAATATTAAAAATGGCATAACATTCTCAAAGAAAATATTAAGTCGTGATTCCACGGGGACTCACCCAATGCACATCAACTTGTATCATAACGTTAAATATTAATTTAATGGTGGGAACTTGTCTCCATTGTACGGAGATACGCGTAAGCTGTACAGCTACAATAATACAGCTCGTAGCTTTAAGTCGTTTTTTTAATGTTTTAATAAATTCGTTTGTTGTTTTTTACTCAATTCATTCAGTAATTTACTTTAAATGTAATTACACTCTCACAAAACGTCGTATAGTTCATTTTCTGGAAATAGATTTACATAATGAATATGTCAATAAATTTTTAATTATCTAAAAAATTAAATAATTATTTATTTTTGTACAAACACTATCGAAAATTAGCATTCGACAAACAAGATAAACTATTTCAAATCAATGAACAGCGTACAGGTGAAAGTTACATGTTAATGAATTTCGCTTAGTCCAAATTACATATATTCTATACTGTTCGCTATTCAATTGAATAATACCAAAGCCTGATCTCATCATCTCAAAATAAAAACAGAAACATTATTATCACGGTACTGGGCTCGTCGCTAGGAAAGAAATAATATTGATGAAGTTGCGGCGTATTTCGCAGGCACACGAGAATTTCACTCCACTGTCATCCGTTATTTTCTTACAATAATATTAACATTATTAAATTATACATATATTTATGAGGAATATTGCTAATAATTTGTAAATTAATAGTTATATATTTTTATTTGAACAGATAAACAAAAATATTTGATGGATTGTCCTATAAATATATACGATTAGATTCAAATCGTATATGGATAATTGAGGTAGAAAGCTGTTATATACAGTGTATGTATATTTAATTTTAATATTACCAAAAAACCTAACGTTTCTGATTGTGCTTAACATAAGCACATCTAATTGCCGATCACCGATAGATATATAGTATACCTATAATGTGTGAAACAATGTAGTACAAAAATTTATTATAAGCTCTAAGGAATTTGATGTAATTCTGAATAAACGTCTTTTATTATTATTATTAAAAGAAAACAACGAAAGCCTAGATGCACAGTCATTATTACACTTTGATAAACGGAATTAAAATTGCCTTACTCGCAGATATATTATGTACCACAGTGTTAGTAAAATAATAGTCAATTGCGCATTATATCGATGCAATTTCTCTTTTTTTTATACTTCGACAGTGGCAAATAAAGTATATTATAGCCTCATGCCGGTCGCCGTTATTGTATCGTGAATCATTGGAAACGGTATCAAGAGGCAACAACTGCATTACGTATTCGCAGACGGCGACATTGAGCAATAGTGTCGCGCGTGTCACTGCGTGCTTCCCATGCCAGCACTCATCCATCAACCCTCACCTCGGCACGCTAAAATATTTCATAAACTTATGTGCCGTGAAAAATCGACGCGACTGTGTCGACTTGTCACATTTAAACGTTTTTGTAGATTGACAAGGGGCTAAAGAATAACATAAGAAATAACACTTTGTGAACGAATTATTCATTATTCACTAGTTTTAAAGGAGATTGTTATATATGTAAGTACTATTGCTTTCATATGTTTGATGTCTAAGCTGAAGGCGAGAGCACCAAATCGCAAGTTACTATATGTTTATTATGTACCTACTTATAAAGACCTAGGATTATTTTCTGTAGGTAGGGGAAGATGGGGGAACTACGGACGCGGGGTAAATACGGACTAACATATATCTGCTCAAACCTAACCTTCCGTGTCCTGTTGCCACGATAACGCGTTACATTTCCCCATCTCTAATGATCACCAAACATTTCCAATAGACGACTAAGCACACGTTTCAAACTAACTAAAATTTTATATTTATGTTAATTTTGATGTACTTTACTATTTTGGGTGATAAAGTATAAGTATCAGTAAAAAAGTCATATATTCTGTCGATTCCTGTGTTAATGAGTACCTAGTATATAGCAGAATCGTTTGTCTTGATAAATTATGTTAATCTGAAAATTCTGTTGATGATTTTTTTCTAACTCGTTTGGGTTAATTGTGGACAAAGTATCTGGGGTAAATACGGACGACGAATTTCAGGAAAAATCTCAACGAATTTCAGGTAACATTCATAACTTTGAGGAATTAAACAAAACAATACCTGGATATGTATTAGTACCTAGTTTAAGTCAGTAAAACTGGTATAAATCATTATATAACAATTTAAACTACTCCACCTCCCTTAATAACACTTTGTGAAGTAGTGCAAGTACCTACTCTACAAAGTACAAAAAGATTATTTTAAAAAATGCGTTTCATTATTTTCATTAGCACGCCGAGGAAAAAGTAAATCTAGAGCAAAAAAAAGTGAAAGAGAAGGAACCTGGAACAAATAAAAGTCCAAAACTACAAATAGAAAATCAAGAGACACTAGACAAAAACAACAAAAGGGTTAGAAACTTAAACAATTCATAATCTTATAAAGAAAATAATGAATGTTTCTGCATTTATTACCAATAAAAGTATTGTGGACGAAGACCAAAAAATTTCTGTGATTAAAATATAAAATTTGAGCACATGAGAATTGCAGTGCAGAGTCTTCTTCAAGAGACTATATTTTTAATTTTGTAAATGAAATGAGACCTGGTTTCTACATGGGATGTTGTCCGCAATTAACCCAGCACTTGTCCGTATTTACCCCAAGGGCTAAGGGTAAATACATCTATGTTTTTGTTTTTTATTGAAATTTAATATATAGTGATTGATATCTTAAAATAATTAATGTTGATTTTATAGGTATATAACTATAATAATTAGTAATAATAAGTATAATAATAATCAGTATGTCTTTACTATACCTAATAAAGACATACCGATTATTATGAATATTGTAATGCCGCTTAAGCGTCCGCAATTCCCCCATCTTCCCCTACTTTAATTTATGGGTCTGCAATTTTATACCGAAGTCTTATGTCAATATCGATTGCAATTTAAAAGTATAGTTCTTCTTTTGAAATAACTCTATAACAAATCTGGTAGTTCCTTGCCCACTAAATATGGTATTATTTATACCATATTTAATGGCAAAGGTAGGTACTAACTTGAAAATTTAAAAATATAAAAGGACGAATATATATACTTAGTGAAAATTTAAGAATATAAAAGGGGGAAACGGCGTTATATAATATTGGTTCAAAATTATTTTCTAGAGTACACCGACAGGAGATTATTAAGTTGCGATTATTTATCATATAATATTTATATTTCGCTCGATTTAAAATAATATATATAATTAACTATTGTATTTTTCATTTTAACAATGGTTTATTATATATACTCAAAAATTACATCTACGTACCTGAGCATATGTAAATTTCTAATATTTAGTATTTATATTTTAACTTATATCCTACCGGTTTATGTTTCTCTCCATAACCAACCGATGTGAAAATTAAGAGGATTGAAAGTGTAACAACGAACATGGCGACTTGTTGCCAGCTGTATTGTACGTGAATTAGTTGAGCGTGTCTTATATCTGCTTACTTGACCACAACTTCTAGTGACATAGCAATAAGTAGCACTTGTTTCTATTAACAATTAGCTGTAATTATCCGTAATCATCAGGCGGAAACTCTTCGAAACATGAATGAGTAAGTAACGGGCAGTAGTTAGATTACTCGTTGATAAATTATATTGAGTAGCACGGTATTCTATGCCGCTAATGATTAATATTTCCGTTTCCCAGCATCTTCAAAGTGTAATAATAAAAATAAACGGAGCACTAGATAACTAATACATTTTACTACTTTGTTATGAACATAATACATATATTTTATTACAAACTTCGTAGATTAAAAAACTAGGTCCTCCTTAATCCAATTATCCAACGTGATCCAAATGCCCAGATAAAAAATATTGTAATTTTATAATACCGATCCTTGCTCTGCATTAAGGTTTCTATCCAATGCAGAGCTTAAGACGTACAACTTTAAAGAAATACGGATATACCTATATCAATACCAGTTAAAATTAATTATTTTTATTAGATAATTTATCACTACTGCAATTCAGGGCGCAAAATAAAAACAAAAATCCTATAGGACCGTTCCAGTTTTCATCAAAGTGAACGTCAGTTTTTCCCAAAGTCATTTTCCAACCAGTTTCGAACAATCATTCATTGTTTTCACGCTTAACAATGAGAAAGAGCTTACGTGTTTTTGTGCGCCCGTCTCTATTGTATGCCACACAATAATAATTATAAAATTAATGTCATAATTTACGATGTTAGCGTGGCAGCTACACTAAGATGTCTACAATATCCGACATTCTTAATGATAATTAATGGTTACCTATATAAAGTCATAGTTTTATACGATTAGTATCAAACAACCTGCAATTCATAGATCACTCACTCACACACATACACACATACGCACATACGCACACATACACACTCACACACACACACACACACACACACACATGCTCAATGCACTCCACGTTTAAACTTAAAACTAGATGTATAACTAATTTATATGAAGGGGAGACAAACAACCTGCAATTAGTCAACAAATTCACGGACATTTAGCCTACTTACATTATTTTCACGCACAATTTGATGGACAGGTCTAAATATGAATGAACGGGTTTAATTATTCATATACCTACGTAGATATATCTGATGCAAGGCTCGTCAACGTCTCTGACTACCAGAAGTGAGATTGTTATTGCGAAGATACATAGGTAAATATATTTAAAATAGATATATACCTATGTGAGTTGTGGCCCAGTGATTTAATAACCCTCCTCGCAACCAAACAAATCGCGAGTTCAAGTCTGGCCGGCCACCAAAAATATAACGTTTTGTGCCAATTTATATGTCTAATAGACTTTCCAGTAAGGGAACCGGTGACAAAGCTAAATAATAATTCGAAATGGGCGACGGTAAGTTCGGATGTGAGCCATGTAAGATTCAAGTAATTGAGCCGTCAACACGATAATGGACTACTTCATCCACTATAACAAACGTGACGTGACGGTATCAACTATCAAAATTACATAACAAACATAATTTGTTATCTATGTATTTATGGTTGACAGTTGATTATTTCCACTATTTAAATAAAATGCGTATTGTGATACCAGATATACATACCTACGGACGAATTGAAAAAATTTTTGATTCTCTTACGGTCGGTTGATAATAATACATTAAAAACCGATTTGTATTATATATCGCTACATTAATTATAATTAAAGTAGCGATATTTAATTATAATACAAATAAGTTTTTTATTTCATCTCTACAAGTGACACAATTTCCATTTTAAATTACATAAATTTCAATGATTATATAGTTGCAATATAAATTAAGCCATACCTTATATACCATATCTTAGACATAATTAAGTTTAATAAATAGAAATTTGATAAAGCTTAAGTTTTATCAATTTTCTATTATTTAACGGATGAATAACGAATGTATGTGAATTATTAAACTCTGTGACAATGAACGTACAAAAGTACCTATTGATTATATTTCAAAACCTGTGCTTATTGCATTATATTATTATAGCCTAATAACAAAGTAACTTCAAGTGCTACGTATTCTACGTTGCATAAATGATTGGAAGAGAAATAAGTTTTCTTTTCTGGTTTAAAAACTACGATATTTAACTTTATTGAAAAATTCTAGGATTCTTTGTAAATTAAAACAACCTACTTAAAATTTATATTTCTCTAATCTGATGTTTTTTAGTATAATTATTAATTATTAGCAACAAAAGTATCAAAATACAGTATTGACTGGGTTAAAAAATATATTTTAACAAAGAAATACCTATTATATTTAAAAAAATATTATTAGGTATATTATATTTTCTTCCATGATGACTTTTAAAATCAAACTATTTTTTTAATTCGTATCAATATAGGAAAGCAACAATTGTGACAGACGTATTAAACGTACAGAAATACAGCTACCACAATTTCTACAGACTTCTACTTCAGACTGGTTTAAGTCAAGGTATGTACAGGACTCTGAATATGAAAATTCTATCAAAACGTTCAGAATAAATATTCGATTATCTTGCACATATACCTACGCCGTGTTCAATCGACATGAAAAATCCATTAGAGTTGTTTGCGTCGACAACTAGGCTGGCGTAGGCGGCGGCACCAGTGACCGTGCCTAAGCGGATTTGTTGCTTCTCTGTCGGTTGCATCAAGTATCCATATCCCAGCTATCCTGCAATCCACAGGCGCATGCCATACATGTTAGGACTCAAACTTTGAACCAGTTTTGAAATCCAACAAACGGGCGAAATTACCAGTTGCTTCAAATTAAAGGAACCTAATTATATACATGGACTTATGAACAAGAAAATTTCAAGACCCAATACCGATTGAAAATCATTTACCGAAAAATTATTGCATTCATATTTCAAAATTATAAGTAACTATTGTATATAGCTACTCATCTCTATATTAATATGTTTTTACGAAAGTCTTATTGTAGGTGCAAGTACCTATATGGAACTGATATGTGTATAAACTCATCAGATCTAAAATTCTGTTATTCTGTCAAAAATGTATACAAACATCGAATATTATAAATAGGCAAAGATATCAAAGTTAACTCATTAAAATTACTCCATCATTAATTTGCAAAGAATTATTTAAGATAGTGACAAGAGTGTGAACTATGGAGTGTATAGAGGAGCGACGTCATTACTGCAATCAAAGCCGAAGCCGCAGCATGCCCCGCCCGGTAACGAGTGCTCTCGATAAAAATTAAAAACACGTGCAGGCCCAGCCTGAGGAAAGTTTTAATGAGAGTACACGGCTTGCTCTTTGCCGTCAGACATAGCCCCGACCACTTCAGTGTAGCACGCAAAATTTTATTTGATATAGGACTGCTGTACACTCGGAACTTAAATGTAAACTTGAGTTTGGAGACATTACTAAGTTAATCCCACCTCGTCGTTATATAATTGATAATGATCAGAAAGACAAGAGCAGGTAGGTAGTTACATTTTCTTAAAAAATAAAACAAACAAATAAATAAAGGAACATCGACGGATTTCGTCATTCTGGGTAAATCAATAGAGCACATTTTGCAAGATAAAGACTTAGGTACGTTTTATTTCCACTATATTTGATATACCTACTTCTTTTATAGCTATAGGTAAAGAATTATGATAGTAACTTAGGTTTTAGTTAGTGCAACCTAGGTGAAACGTAACATACGTTTCACATACTATAAAATTATTCTTATTAAGACCTGAATAACTGGATATTGTGTCTAAGCCTGAATGTTTTGTGATCTTAAAGTAATGTTATCTTAAAAGTCGAATCAAAAAATGGCGAAACCTCGGCGTAAACTTTTCGCGGTTGTAAATTACCTACGATGAATAGTTCGATAAAACGCCATTAAGTAGGTATGTAACCTATATAAAGATAAACTTTATATTCCGCCGAATTATCTGATAGAAAAATAGAAAGAATCTCTCGATTGATTTCAATCTGGCATGGCTAAAACGCGATACCTGAAACGGTTAAATTAAGTATTTAGTTTAAGTCACTATTTCGTCTAATTACCAATAGGTACAGGATTTTTTACATGTATGATAATGGAACGGTGCACCCATCTGCACTAACAGTTTACGCAGTCGGGGCACCAGTGGAGGATGATAGAATGAGTATGAGGTCAGGTCAGTTAGTCTCATTGTGACAAATTCACCAGGAATATCATAAAAAAATTCTGGTGAATTTCCTCTGAAAGCTTTCCAGGGGAAACCGCGTGGAGGTGAACCTAACATGGTATATTACTATCTAATGGGGTGACTATAGGATTGGATTGAATGATTTTGTTTGAGAAATGTATACTTGGATAAATTTATATTTAGGTCAGTATTACATTAACTAGATACGTAGGTATGGGTATCGGGAATCTTTGATGGAGCTATAGAATTTTATTAATATCTTTTAGAGTAACAATCAAAATGAATTAATTTGTAAAAAAAATGCTGTTCTATTTATTGATGCAGATATTTTTTGTGGCAACATATAAAATCCATTAGATTAGTACGTCGTCGGTCGGTACCGAGTGAGTGCATCGACGCCACGCCGCCGATTGGCAACGCCTGCAGCCTCAGTTGACCGTGCATGGGTAAGCGGCTTTAAATTTATTGCATTCAGTGCTATCAACATCATATTCATTCATACAGCGGCTGAGATATGATTGATTTGAAAATCCATAGTAAGCCTGTATGTCTGTTCTGTTAGCTTTTCTACAGACGGTTTAACATTTCAACGTTATAATGAAAATGCACGGAAAAAAATCGATAAAAATAATCAACAATACCTGCCATAGGTAGATAAAAATAAACAAAAAAGCGGAACATAGAATGTAGGTAAATACACAGATATCATACTTTTTAACAATAACACTTTTCCGCTGCGTGCATTCGGATAAAAATAAGAATAAATTGTGAGGATCTTGCAAAACAATAGTTGGGAATGGTGTACGCGAGAAAAAGCCGGATGCAAATGCCATTCATATTAATTAGCAAAGCGAGACGGGGCTTTTACGAAATTAGACCGTGATTTCAGCGAAGATTTATTGTTGTGTTTGAAATGGTTTTCGGAGCAAAGGTAGCCATTTAGACTGAGGCAAATTAGTGTTGTCGGAGTGAAGTTTTTAAATTGAATTGACTAAAGTCCTTGTTTGCTTTGACCGGTGATTCACGGCAAAGGTGGAAAAGTGCCCTTAATTTATTGCCTGTGCCGTGCACGTAACGACACGTTATGGGAAACAGCTTGACGTAAAGATTAATGACCATTGGTGCTTAGGGAAGTAATCCCTTTAATATATCTAATAACCAAGATACACGAGTCTAAAAAGGCGTTTTAACAAATAATAATAAGTAATCAATAGACATTTAAAAATTGAACCTAGTTTCTGTATAAAAACAGTTTCACTATGTACAAAGTAGCATACTTATATATCTACCCTAAATAGATATACTTATTAATTCGAGAAATAGATATTTTGCGTATATATAAAATATTTCATATATTTGTAACAGGCGAAACAGGCAAAAGTAAAATAGTTAGATATTGGTTAAGTTGTACTAAAATTACCCAATTGCTTACTCCCGTTGTCTGGAAATTATTAAGTCCCCCTTAAAAATCTGATTTAAACAGTCAATACATGAGTTTAAAACAATACAATTATCTCTCCTAAACAGTTGGGTGCAGTTATCAAAATGCATTATTATAAAAAATAAGACAACATAAATACTTAATTAATTTTAATATGCAAATACAAAATATTTACACTTTTAAAAAGGTCATATCTATATTTAAAATTATAAATAAATACAATAATTACACAGTACTTTTATTCTATCAACAATAATATTTCGTATAATCAGGGTAACATATTTTTTTGTCTAAATTGTGATATATTTGTAGAGACGGCATCAGCCGTTTATTTAGGTGTATTGATTTCAACATATAATTTATACCAGACAGTGCAGCCGCGCTGAAAGCTCTATAATATAGGAAATCCAACAAGTTGATAAACGAGGGACTCGTACTATGCCATGGACGACCTAGCGAAAAGAGAAAATAATATGACGATAGCAGGCCGCTTTGTCAGATATCCACTAAAATACAAAACCAGGGATGGAAACAAACCACTCATTGTAAATAATCAAAAGTGGATATGCCAGCAGTAAACCAGCAATTAAAATAACGCCTACTGAACCTAAATAGGTAAAAACCTTAGAATAATAGGGACAGTAACGAGCTACTATCCCTTAAATAAACACTTGTACTTACACAATAGGTGATACAGATAGTCCTTTGTCGAGGACTGCTTTAAAACCGAAGAAACGGCCGCTCAAGTATATCTGGAGTGGAAGCAGTGGCCACACATCCTACACAAATCCTTGGAACAGTGAGGTTGCTTCGTGAAGCCTGTGAAGACATCAGGTTTATGCTTACGCTACTGGGAGGAGTTCTACACGCGCAGCGGGACACATGAGAGAATAATGCCCGCATTTATTTTTATATTTATTTATTTATTTATATTATAAAGTCCAATTTACATTTAGGAGCAGATTAGAACAGCAACCATTTGATAAAGCAAAATAGCTTTTATCCAATTTAACTATAACACACTATAACTTCGAGGAAGAACTAATTGTGTTGTGTGATGCACGTTATGGTGTGGGTCCAATGCTAGTCTAGTCTATCTACACAAAATAGGTTATTATAAAATCAACAATATTACAGGGTCATGAATGAAGATATACACAAATTAATAAAGACGCCATGGCAATCATGTTTGGCCTAAAAAAGTTCAGGCAAGTTGTTGGCGCGTAGTTTTACAATCTGTGCAGATTATAAGTTCCAGGTCGAAATATTTGAGTGAAATAAACATATACCGGAACGAATATCAGTTTAACTTCTTAGATGAAAATTAGATTTGAATACCTTTGACTATATATTACAGTAACATCCTGGGAATGAGAACTGAAAGGGAAATGGTAGTGAACATCTAAACAAAAGTCCGTATGGGGATTCAGAAGAGAAGGAAAACTTTTTATTAACAATAGAAACAAAATATTTTATATGTCAAGATTCTAAAACAAAAGCCAGGGAATTTGATAAAGATACACTCTTAAATTATAGGTACTTACCTAGCACATGATTGACTAAAGTTGAAGAGGAATTATCACCATAGTACAAGAAAAAATACTAGGCTGATCTATAATAGTGGCGATGAATAAATTGTATAATAGTTGTAACCAACATATTAAACATTGCATGGGCAGCACAGTACCAGTGGCGAGCCACACTAAGATAAATGGTAGGATTATAAGAAACAGTTCTTTTTTCGGTTTGACGTAAATGTGCAAGTTGGAAACGTGCAGAAAAGAGCTTTATTTTATCATATTGCGGCAAGGAAGTATTTACATTAATTGTTTCATTATTATCACCTAACATTCCGGGTAAAACGAGTTTTAATGAAATTATTGCTATGCTCGAAAATTTTTTTATACCATCTTCGCACCCGTTATTCGAAACTGTAAAATTTTATACGCGAAAACAAAAAATCGACAAGTCAATAATGAAATGAATCATTGGATCGTTACTTGATATGAGATATAACTTCTTTAAGTTCCGTTCCCATCTGACAGATTTTTTAATATTAATTCCCTCAAAATAAAAGAAAATTATTTTATAAGGTATAAAGGACATTCGCTGTACCTTCGGTATTTATCCTATAAGTATACTACATCGTTAGTCGGTAATATCGTACGGCAGATGTCATATGGCAGAGGCCACACTAATATAAAACGATACTACTGTATAATAACTTTTGACCGATAGAGAAGCAGATTTATATGCCTAATTAATGATTACAATCAAGATGATGTTCCATTCAAGGTCCTATAAATATTTTAATATTGACAATAATAGTAAAGATAAAAATAGGGTACAATTAATAAATAAACAAATTTATCTAAATAATTTCATAATTAGCAAATATAACGCGTAATACACACAAAAAATTTGACATTAAATTTAGAATCATTTAATTCCATTTTAAATCTGTTTCAGATTATACTAGATACGCTGTTCACAATTGTATTGAACATGTAGATTAATATTTTGCATGTAATTTAATGGTTTTCGAAGAGTTCAAATAATACTGATGCTCAATATATTCAATATAAAAATCAATTAATATATATAAGTTCTCCAATAACATTTGCACAATTAATTACAATTTGTAAAATCCAAAAAATATTTGAACGAAATATACATACACAGTACACACATACATACATACTATTCGAGGCAAGAAAATATATCACGTTACTTGTGTAGTATATAATAATTACAACAAGCATAACATTACACACTCACTTGCACATAACATTGCGCAATACATATTTAAAACACAAAATAAGGAAACATCAGAACGTGAATAAATATACCAACCATTTTATTTTATAACAGAATAAGACACATTTTCTTATGAAAAACAAAATGTAACTTGTATCTATCGACATTTAATTAGATCAGTACATTACATTTAAAACTGTACTGTAAACACATTGTGAGAGTATGGAAAATGCCTCTGCAAAATACTCTGCCTCAGTGCCTTTTTTATAGACTTCTCGATATTACTATAAAAATTCTTTAAATTTGATCATTTCAATATATTGCACAAAGACGTAATATTAATAACTACAAATTATTTAGTTAAAATCCACAACCAAAATCACTAAATATAAAAAAATATTGTACAAGTCAATTTCATATTTCGTTGAATTTTTAAAATATCATAGTATTCTACTAGTATGTTTATATCTAAATGAGCAACTACCTATAGTGAGAACATAATATTTACTGCAGTACAATGTATTACATTCCTAAAATAATTCACAAAATAGTTCACAACATACAAATAAAATATTAATTAAATTAGTTAATAGGTAACTATTAATTTATAATCAGTAATCAACCTCTAAATTTATGGAATACTATAATAATTTTGGTTTTGTGACTTAATAATTTCATGTAGCTTATATGCAAAAAAGCTATGACTTTAAGGTTGGTCATAAAGACTGATCAAACTTTTATAATTTCGTACATATACACTGAATCACTTTTTTACTTAAATTCACTTCATAAAGCTTGTAAATTAAACTTTGAAAACTTATAAAACAATTAAATAGAAACTGACTCAAATTCATGAGGTGAAATGTAGAGAACAAAAGCACTCTACAAGTGGTATACTTTACATGTATATAAAAAATGGGTCAGTATAGTATGTTTTCCAACTGTCTAAAATTTATTCAATATAATTCTTCCATGTTTACAGGCAGTGATTTGCACTTGCTTAGGACACAAAATAACTATATTTTTGACATACATGGAAATATGTGTACACAGATTATCATATTGAAACCTAAAAAATGAGCAATATATTATATTTGAGCTTTATTACATATGTACAAGTTTCTGTTGACACAAATATGAATACTCCTTATAATGTATTCAAATGCACTTGTTTATTTTTTCTATAGTATAAAATTTGTCACAAACATGGAGGAGGAAGTGGCATATTAATTAATTTACAAACTTCAAGAAGGAAATTTTTCAATATAGCAGCTTGATTGTCCTTTGAACCATTTAAAATTACAGTTGGTATAAATGTTGGTTTTAGTAGGTGTGTATCATCGCCATATTTTTTCAGCAATGCTGAGCCCTGTTCACTGTTGGCACAATTGCTGATGGGTCCTGGATTGATCTTCATTTGTTTTGCACACTAAAACATAGATTACATATTCTAAAACTTCATACCACATAGTTAAAAAAACTAATATAGAGCAAAAGCATCATTTTTGTTTCTGATCACTCAACTCAATTTATCTTAATTAATCAACAGCTCATTTATCTTAACTGATCTTAGATAACTGGATTGCAAAAGTTGGAATATCTATTCATCCTTTCACATATTAAGGCACTCACAATCCTAACTATGCCTATTTTAATCAACTTTATAAATAGTAACATCAACTTACCAGATAGATATTTTCTATAATTAAATGAATTTGGTATGCCTCCATAGAAACTCAAATATTTAGTTGAGTCTTTATGGAGTCATACAAATTTCATTATTTAAATAAAGAAAGCAATACCACCAAAAAATATCAAATTAATTTCATCTATGTTGCAAGAGAATATTGACTGATGTATATTATTATATAATAAATAACACACATGTGTGTAAAGTTACCCGTAAAAGAGCAGCATCAGCATCCTGATTATCAGTAATCATGCAATCTGTAATTTTTACAGCTGTAGTCATGTTGCTAACTGCTTGAATGGAACATGCATGTATTTTATTTGCATAACATTCCTCTTCACCATGTTGGCATTTAAAAAAATAATTACCATTTTCTTCCTTTGTCTAGAAATAACAATAGGCACAACTCAATAAGTATACTAAAAATCTTATATTAAAAACATTGTCAAAATTGATAATCTCTCTCTTCTAAGTATTAAACCTAGAAAGGATCGGATTATGAAGGATAATAGTATGATTATGTACTGTACTAGATGCATATTTAATATAAACAATTTTAAGACAAATTTGATACTCACTGTTGCTTTACCATATGGAATTAAAGTTACATCTACAAAGTCTGATAGTTTTTCTGTCACAGGGCTTAAATGTCGAATAAAAAAATGTTTAGAGTCAGGACACAAAGCCTCATAATAAACCCTAACTTTCACTTTGTCCTGCTTGTGTTTATTATACTTATCATCTTCTAGTTCCTCTATATTAGTCTGAAAAGAATTAATTGTATAATATTAATTTTCGAGTTAGTATTTTTAGTTACATTACAAACTGTAAGAAAGGTACAATAGAATATTAATATTATACCAGTGCTGTGCCATCTCATTTATTTGTTTCAGATGCGGGCTAGATAAAGCCTTTTTAGTCTAGATCAGTGTTTACCAATGTGGACCTAACAAAGGGGGGTAATTTTATTGTTAGAGGAGGCATTTCGAAAAGGACTCTATTAAAATTATAAGGAATGTGAATTTCAATTTTTCATTATATGTTCTGGAAAATTACTTACTGTTTTATTAACAATTTCCTAGTGATTTCTCCCAAATCCCATTATTTAAGTTTCTTAAATAAACAATAATTTTTTTTTATATTATAAATTAAGTATATAGGGATAAGAATTTTAGAAAGGGTAATGTGGGGCATGGCACTAAAAAAGTTGGGAAATACTGGTCTATATGCATACTTACATATTTAGCTAGTTCTTAAGACTAATATAATCAATTCCCAATTTTTTCGCAACATATTTCCTGAATTCTTTTTAACTGCACTTTAATGATGACAAAGATTACTATAAATCTATATGATCATACTCTATGCCTTAGTAAATCACACATATCATGTGATAAAAATACCTCATCTTGCTTTGATGATCACAGTAATTACTTACATATTCCTATACTTCATTGTAAATGAAATTTACACAATATTTATCCTTATTATGTTTGTCAAATATAAAAATTATTATAATATAGATTAAGTCAAAGCTACATCAATTTGTGATTTAAAGAAGTTCCTAATGCACCATTAATATCATAAAGATAATTAACAATACCTTGCATAGTTTATAAATAATAAACGGACAATAATTTAGATACTTAAGATTCTACATTATTGTCTGAATACCCATAAAGTACACCAATAAAAGTAATAGCAGTGCCATTATCACTACCCACCATTGTTTAAAGGGCTGTTTTTATCTATAAATACATGTATATTAAGTAATAATGAACAACGTAGATGATGATGATTTTAAAAAATAATTTTAGATTTATAGTAATAAATAGTAATAATTACCTTGGTCTGTTCAGTTTCAGTTTTAGGCAATAACCGGATACATTGCCATATAATTAAAATTATAAGTATTAAAACTATTAACCTATAACGATTGCAGGAATAAAAAGCCATCTTTATCTATACAAAATCAATAAAAATTGGACAAATTGATGTTGCTTTCTATTATAACATAACTTTTATTATGGTCGTGAATTTTACATTTATATATAAATAATAATACTAATATTACTACTACTTTAATCACAAAATAACTAATTAGAATGCATTGATAGCGTTAATACAGGAAAATAGAAAAACATAATTAATAATAAGAAACAATCTTGAAAATTAAACTTCGTAAGCCAATTCCAAAGCCAATTCTATAGATTTTACCACAGATCAGAAAGACTTACAATTTGACAGTTTGACTGAATTGTCCTCTGTCTGATATATCATTCTCTCAAACCATGACATTGACAAAATCACCAAATAATATAATAAAGATATATTATATTGTAGTTTCTACAGTGCATGCTATTTGGTGTCATATATTACTGTATAATATAATCGAAGAATTGGGAAAAATATTTAGCAATATATCTCAAAAGCAAAATCTAAAAATATGAACTACACTCGCGAGCAACCAAATCGCCTCAAGCGCTACCTCTACATTCAAACATTGTTCTAAATAAAAGTATACAACATTTAAATAAAAATAATGTCATTTAAAGCTTGAAACCTAAGCTATAAAAAAAAAATCAACACCATAAAATAAAACAAGTAGGTACATACTAACATGTTCATTTGCGCAAATTAGGGCGTATGGAACAAATTACTCACTACATTACAGTATTTTTTTTATGGGTGATAATGGAATGGTGTACCCGCCTGCGCGAACGGTTTACGCTAGCAGAGCACCAGTGGAGGATGATTAGATGAGCATGAGGTCAGGTCAGTCAGCCCATCCTAGTGAATTCATCATGAATTTATCACGATGGTTTCCAGAGGGAACCACGTGGAAGTAAACCTGTTATTAGTCCCCCTTACTAATAATCCCTTTCCCCCCTCTCATCAGTATTTGAACTGGGGGATTAACCAGCGGGGCAAGGTGCTTACAGACGAGTGCAAAGCAAATTTTTTAAATCTTGATCGGCGTGATTGACTTTGTAGACGACGCGACGAGCGGTTTTCGGAGTCCTGCATCCACGAAGTTGACCGTTTCGGTGATCCCAACGTTAAGGTTTGGGGTGGGATAAGTTTGCACGGTAAAACCCAGCTCACCATTTTATATGCGGGTACGGTACCATAACTGCAGATCGTTACATCTAGGACGTCATCAGGCTTCAAGGTATCCCATTTGAACAGCGAGTGGGGCCTGGATTCATCCTGATGAAGACAATGCCTGTGTACACAGCTCGATCGACTCAAATTATCCTAGTAGGGTCTCATTGAGGTATTACCATGGCCAGGTAACAGTCCGGATTTAAATCCAATCGAGCAATTGTGGGACCAATTGAAATGAAGAGTTAGAGAGAATGAGCGAGGGGTCTACGAGCAACAGCAGCTGATTGATGCTTTAAAATATGCCTGGGTAGAGAAAGTGAAATGAAAACGTGAATCAAATGAAAATCAAATTTGATCCAGAGTATGCATACGAGGCTTCAGGAGTGTATTGCCAAGAGAGGACAGTAGTTTATAATGAAAATTAAATTACACTAGGATTGTATAAATTATATAGTTTATGGAACTATGTAATTTAATTTTATATATTAAATATGTACAAATAATATACTTCCATAACTGTTACTGTTCAAAACTAATGTTTTTACTTAATACTATGGGTTGTACCATACTTATTACTGGCAGGAAGAAAATAAAGAAAATATCACATTTTATTATAGTTATATGGTAAATTTATTCCGTTAGCTGTAAACCATTAAATTTCTCTACATCATAGAAGCCGGCTTTGACTTGACGACCACCAAAGAATCTCCCATTCAAATCTACTACTGCTTTTATAGCACTTTCAATCCGTTTGAACTCCACAAATATTCTTACAGCCTCATCTGCAGGAGCATTGGGCAACTCAAAAATTAAAACTTTTATAACATCTCCATATTTGGTATTGCATTCGTCTTTAACTTCAGGTTCTAATTCCTCATCAACATCACCCGGGCCTACCATATTCTGTAAGAATTACACAATTTAAAAAATTTTAAAATTGAGATCTTAGATTTGTAATAGTATTAATATATGTAAGTTTATAATCATTTCCTTGAAAATAAAATTTTAGTGCAAGTATTTCTTTTTACTACAGTAATTTCAGTATAAGAACTTTCATAAACAACCATCAAATACATAGTATACCAGCCTTAGATAGTATGGCGTTATATTTATTTATTAAGTAAGAAAGTTGCAAATACACTACTTACTCGCAATAAAACCACTTTACTAGGTGACTTCATTATTTCTGTTATAGATGGTTCCTGCTTTGAAAGCTGAGGAGAGTTTGAAGCACCAGTAGGTGAATCTGAAATCCAGCATAGAATTATTAAAATACATTTTTATGTATCTTCTTTTGTTGCTAATTTGTAATATTTCCATATCTTTATATCATATATCATCATAATATATAATACTAACATTATTTTTAGTATTAGGTATTTTGATGCTTGCTTTCAAGAACTGTGATTGTGGCTACTTAATTTGGTATGTTTGTTACCCTTATTAATGGATCATCTGCTGAAAAATAATCTATTCCTTTAGTACTCTATACCAACCAACCTGGTCCAGGAAATGCAGGCATGGCAAAACCAGGAGGCGGCATTACATTTCCATCTTTTTCATGTATAATGCGCCCACCACGTTTTGAAGTTTTTTCTACCTGCAAGGCTACTGACATACCTTGCTCCTTTTTACCCAAACCTTGACCCTCCTATGAAAAATAATACAGTACTTTTATTTGTACATCTCCACCTCTACATATAATCACATCAAATAAAATAACTGCACATGACTTCTAAACATATAATCTTACTTTCAGTAAGTAAGTTATATAAATATTATATACATGATATTTTTGTGAAATTTACATGGGTTTGTGATGTACATAATAATAATAATAATAATATCTCAGGACAATTCACACAACGCCATCTAGTCCTAAGCTAAGCAGAGCTTGTGTTATGAGTACTAGACAACTGATATAAATACATGGATACATTTTTTTGTAAATAAATACATATTATATATAGAAAACATCCAGCCCGATACAAACAATCATACACACAAAGGTTTGTACCATGCGAGGAATCGAACCCACAACCATCAGATAGTAAAGCGGTATGCTAAACCACTAGACCACCGAGGCTGTCATAATAAATTATTTATTTACCTTGAAACCATATTTTGCCATAATTTTCGCTGCAACTGAACTTGCTCCATATCCACCCAATGAGAAACCAGGGGAAGGAGTAGCTATGGGAATAACAGGTGGTGGTGGCGCTGGTGTTTCCACTGTTAAAGACGGCGGTGGTGCTATAGCAACACCAGCAGCACGTTTTGATATCTCTTCTGCTTCTTCTTCTTCAGGTTGCTATTGCAAAAAAACGAATACAAAAATAGTACATCACACATTCTTATATTTAACAAGTAACATTTCAGTGAATAAAGTAAGAGACATTAAAATGAAACTAATCCAAAAGTTAAAAAATTGGCCTCATTTTTGTTATCTAATCTTCAAAGATGATATATTAATAGTCACTTCAAAAAATATATAAAATAAAGGTTGTGAAATGAGTGATCAAACTGACATATAAATGTTGTCCTTACTTTACAAATATTATTAAAATATTTAAACACTAGTAGTAGTTGAAAGGACCATGATGGGAAAAATATTATCTCAAAGAATAAAAGCAAGTTATTAAAAAACATACAAAAACAAAAGATGTCACAAGAACAATGAAGAAACTAAAATTGAAGTGGTCTGGTCATACAATCAGAGAGTAAAATGGTCTAAGCTTATCATAAATTAAATTTTAGGCAACAAGAGTAGCAACAGATTACTAGATTATTAGATTGAATATGTTGGAGGAGGATTCTTGATGCATAATTAGTTTATATGCCAGTACATAATTACATTACAATGTAAAAAAAACTGTGCTGTTTACACAGTAATGTTTTCTTTCTTATATAGTAATTATTAGTTTTGTTTGTAACATGTAAGTTTTACAAGCTATAATAAAGTTCTGCTTGATATGTAATACACTAATACAAATAAATGATGTTCAATAATATCACCATAGGTATAAGTGTCTTCTCTGGAATAGAGTCTTCATCATCTCCAAATCTACTTTTCCGCTTCCTATCTAATCTTGTTTCATTTCTATCATTACTATCATGTTGAAATCTCTTTGCTTGCATTTCTGAAATCATTTGACAATATTTGAAAATAAGCTAATACAGCATTGATTATGAGTATTGTGTTTCTGTCACATCAAATCAGTGAATTGACACAAGACAATAAACTATAGATAGTGTATTTCCAGCACCAGTTCTGGATTAGTCAACACAAACCCGATATGTATTTTTTTTTTTTAAAGAAGCCTATGGTTTGATTTTAGATTACAACATAAACTTGAGTTTAAAAAAACTTACAAAAGAGCAATGTTTTACTTTGTTTAGTCTTTGAAAAACTTATATAAGCCTAAAAATATTGTAAATTACAAAAAACATTTTTTTTTTATTACATTACATACTAAAAAATAAAAGTAAGAGACTTGGTCCTTGAGCCATGGTGCATTTAGCATTTGCTCTCTTACTGCTAGGCTAATCTTGTACTATTTAGCTAGCTAATGAGAAAGTACATCTTTTCTAATATTAAAACTATGTGATTCAATATATATATTTAAGAAATAATAAATAAATTTAATGTCTAGAAAACTTAAAAGTTAGAATTTTATATTACCTTTTGCAACTTTTTCATAATCATTTGGCCACATGGGATCGTATTCATTGGCTACATTCCAGTCAAAATCTCGTACATTGAGTGAGGCTGTTAATGTTTTAGGCTGGCGATTTGGACTATTTGAATTAGATTCATCATCATCTTTCTGTTTACTTTTCAAGTCTATAACTGGTGTCAATACCTTTATCAAACACATAAATTGTTTTAAAAAGGAAAAAGAATACTTAAATAAAATATTAATCTATATAAATGTATTTATTATTGAAATTATATCTAAATGAAAGCTTTAAGAATGAAAAACCTTTCCTTTCAGTTGAAATCAAATTAAAATAAAATATATAAAGATGAGCTTGCAATCTTTCAACCCAGCACAAAGTATGCTGAGGCAATCCTGAACCTACCAACTTCATATAGTAAATAACAGTATACCATCATAAGTGAATGTATACGATATATAACCTACTGCCATATTGTCTATATCTTCTGGACAGTACTTGTGCAAAATGTAACACTTATCAGTCTTCATTTATTTTTACTTTTTATATTATTTTATATATTTTATCAACATAAGAATGCATAATAAAGAAAAAGTTAACATTGTTTATAATTTTTAAAAAACATATATTCTTTTAAAGAATCAAGAAGTAAAGCATGGCTACTAGTTATTTATGAAGTATATATATTTTGCATGTTGTGTATACCTGTGCAGACCGCCGTAATGCTTCTCTTTTTGGTTGTGTTACCGCAGCTTTTTTAAGTTGTAACTGAGACTGAAGCAATTTGATTCCCGAAGACCAGCCAGCCACTTTTTCTGTGGTACGAGCTTTGGTGTCGAGATCATCATATAGAGACATCTTCTTACTAATTTAAATTCCTGCACAAACTGTTACTTCAGACATATTCAATAAAATAAGATTTTACAATCGAGTTAATCTATTGAAAATAGTACCTAAGTATACAGCCCCCTCCGTAATCTATGGTAATTATCAACTCAGATGACACTACTAACGAATAAATATAAAACGGAAATATTAACAATTACATATATTTTATTATATGAAGCATAAAATAGATATAATAACAAAACATGACATTTATTATAAAATGACAATTATTTCATTTACAAGTGAACGGAGGGCGGACTGTGCAAGACGACAATGAAAGCACAGAGTACCACTTCTTGTGACACACATACTGTCTTACTGTATTGTAATTTTTTAATAACGTTTTGAGTAAATACGTAATAGAATAGAATAGAAAATCATTTATTCAAATAAACTTACATTGAAGCACTTTTGAATAGTCATAACATTTTTTTTTTAATCTACCACTCATTCGGAATGCTGTCTCATCACAAGAAGAACAAGCAAGAAACTTGTGTGTTGCAGACCAGTTGCAAACCAGTCCACACAAGCAGCACCCGTTCACGAGTATGACGGATGAACCAGCCACCACTGCGCTCGACCATATTTTAGGGAGCCCAATGACCCGACCCACCACGCCGCCACAAGTCTGGACATTTTAGTGAGCATGACTACTCAAAACACCAGACCACGTCATAGCTACTCACAATTGCTACTCATAGTAATCATTCTCATTCGAAATTTAATATAGGTACTTTTTATATAAAAGTGGAATATAGTTTTCATTTTTGCCAGTGTGCACTAGCCGCTAGTGTGAGCGTGCTCTCCCTAACTCAAAGAAGAGCTCCAACTTGTGAAGAGAATACTTGCTAGTTTCCTTGCATCTACCCTCTGTGAGGGAGACGCACCGGATTACGATATGCCGCTATGTTTTTACTTCTGTTTAGTTTTGTATTATTTAATATTTTTAGTTGTCACTTTGAATTATTTTTAATTTTAAAGGGAAATAAATATCTAAACCCCAACTAATGAGCGAGAAACAGACAAACTAGTTAGCGTAGTTCATCTTTGACTATAATCTCCTTTGTTCTAAGAAGCCTTAAAATAAAACTAAATTATATAATAGTACTATTTAATTCACAATGCAATTATAAAATATAATTTCAAACTCTTTGTACTTTATACATAAAAAAATTGTTGTCATAGTATCCAAATTTTTATTTTTATTATTTATTTTCGTTTATTTGTATAAATATAATGAATACGCTGTAAAAAAATCATGTGTGGCAATTACTAATACTATTAGCATATCTTATTATTTGCTTTCATAATGGGAATCATAAGTACAAAAGATACTCGACGCATTAGTTTTGATAATACATTTACCATTATCCCTGCAATAGCTCTTCAAAAATCTATCGAGGAAAAGACATTCGCAGAAATAGGAAATATAATCAATGTAAGTTACAATTAGCTAGTTAAAGTCAACGACGGATCCAGGAGGTCATGGGGTCATGACCACCCCCTGAGCTCAGGACTTAGGTGGACCACTAATTGAAAATAATTATTTTATTTATATATTTTGTCACCATACAGATTTTATGTAACTACATACCTAATATTTAATTAATTATATTAAAATAGCGCTTCTCTGGGTGTCTTTAAGAGAAGATGACAATGGACGCGTATATGTACAAGTTATTATGTGTTAGGTTTTTCAAGTGTTCAATAAAGAATAAATATTTTTAAGTACCTACAGTATTTACCTATATTAATAAAATACCTATTATTTACTTGTATCTATTGTTATCAAAAATAAATTATAAGTTCTTGACTTGACTACGACTATGTGACCCCCTCCTGGCGCCAAAGCTGGATCATACTTTTTAGGCGAATAACTCATTATGGATACCAGCTCATCTCAGGAGCTTAAGGACACGTTACTGCCTGCTATGGTGCTGATCTCGCTGGTTCGCTTACATATTCTATTACCTTCCTTTACTTTCAAAACACCGACCTTTGCGGTGTTTTTGGATTTAGTATAAATTTGACTGGCATCTACTACGCCAAAATAGACTCGTCTAAAATAAATGTTAATGGCCTTCTAATATTGTGTTATTAACAATTTCAATCAATAAACATTAATAACTACTCTACAGTATTCTTTTTCATCATATTCCTGAATACTTGAAAAAGAGCTTCCAGTTCCATACCAAAATCCCCGTGTTCTGGATTACATAGCACAAGAAACATCTGTTTACCTTCCTAAGTCACATTTATATTACACCGATTCTTTCTCTGTACAAGTTATTCGTCTCTGGAACTCCTTGCCATTTTCCAGTCGATCATCGATTTTATATTACAAAATTTCCTCCCTGTAATTAAATTATATTTAAATTGCCTCTTGTTTTCGTCCAATATATATGTAATATGTATTTGTGTGTAAGTTTATTTATTTATGCTTGTAAGATGTATGTTTATCTATAACTGTATAATATATATAGTGTTTAGTGTGAGACTCCTACCTTCTCTCTCTGAGTAAGTACTCTCTTTTAATACCAGTTTGTAAGAGATTGCTAATAGTAATAAGACCTCCTTTTGTAAAACATTTTTAATAGATATACTTCTATTATTCTTTGTTCATTGCGAAACAAACAGTTAATATTATTATTATAAGTACCTATGGACCGTTTTTAATGTGACTGACTTTATCAAAATATCCATGTGAAATGCACGATCACTGTTCCATGTTATTTTTAATTACGTACTGCCTCGATATAAAAATAGTTAATATTACACAATATTTTGTTTTATATAGGAAACAGAAGATGAATTAATTTTACAAAAAAACGCACCTGTAGACACTTATGAATTTAATGAAAATGATTATTGGGCTCACAGGATAGATCATCTTAAAAAGGAACATAACACAATTAATAAAATTATTGAATCTGAATACGAGACAACCATAGACAATGCTAACAAAATTTTTGAACCACCGAAGGTAACTCATGAAAGAGTGCATAAAGTGAAACCATGTTTTGATTGGCGAGCTAAAGTATGTACTAAACACTTATTTTACGACATAGTTTTTGTAGTTGTTGTAGCTAATCTAGTAGTTTGACACGTGCAAAAAAGTAAGGTTCCCATTGACTTGAGATATATCGAAAACTTCATACAACTTTCAACTTATTTTAAAAGGAAGTTCTTATAAAATAGCCATACGCATAATAGCGTATTCTCCTAATTTATAAGAATTTGTGGGATTGCGTAAATGACAGAAATTTTAGAAATGTCATGCAATTACAGGAATTAAAGAACAAGAATTTTGTGAGAATATTATTTTTAGGTCCACTGTCGTCTTACTTATTCGAAACATTGTCCCATTAGAATACATTAAAGCTTAAAGATTTTACTATGATGTTCAATTTGTTACGTATATTTTTTAACTACAGTTAGAGCAATTTGCTAGCATAGAAACCCAATGCCTAATAGGTATAGCAAATACTTATAGCTCGAGAGACAATAAAAATGTAATAGGAAGCGCATTATACTATTACAATTTGAAAATAAGTTTATCACAAGTGAATATGTACCTAAAAATGAAATACTAAGGCAAGATTATACCAATCTTACTATTTATTTTGAAAAAAAAAATAACAGTTAAGTATCAACAAGGAAAATGAACAGCGAATCATCCTGAAAAACAAATACACTAACTTTCACAGGATTAGGTATACTACATGCAATTCTTGCTTTAGGTTTTTTTTAATATATAATATTTATAATTTGTCGCTCCACCTGATAGTAAGTGATAATCGTCACCTACATTTAAACTAAATCCAAATGAACAGCACCACGGACAACTCGTTATCGTAAAAAAGTGTGCAAGCAGTGTATTTTATCAGGGAATTCAACCCTATAACTCACCCGATTGAACGTTCAACCTTACCATCGCATGGATTTCTCGTACGAAATATCTCGGTGTCATGATCGATACTAAGGTTTGGACCACACATCAAACAAGTCCGCAACAAAGCCGCTTTCACACGAACACATGACACCGTCCCCGGCAATTTAAGCATCCAAGGTTTAAATTGGTGAAATTGATGTAGATACTCGTAGACTTTTTACAAAATCTACCTCATTCTCGTATTAGAAGACAAATTGTATCTATTGTGCTTAAATATAGCGCCAATGGTTTAAACTATTATTTATTTTTTAAGATTTGATGTCGGTATTCCTTCTACTTTTCGAAAATATAATAATCAAACTATATACTATTTTCCGAATTTTTGCTCTAATCTTATTTTTCCCCAACGAGACAGACAGACTGATAACTAATAAAAACTATTTAAATTTACAGATTTTGCAATGTTATCAAGACAATCCGCACCAGCCACTGATGTGCTCGGCGGTTGTTCAGGCTTTTACTCAATGTGTCAAATCGTGCAGAGTCGATGATTAATTTATTTTTGTCAGATCTAACCGTTGCAGTAACTATTCATTATTATCAATTAGATTTTATGAATACTACTACTGCATTAAATTATCATTATAAAAGTCATATTTATTTATTTATTATACATACGGAGTTTTCCAGCATTCCTCAATGTTATACCCTATTAATAATATTTAAACACAGATGAACCAGTAACTACATGTTAGTTTACTTTGTTAGAACTAGCTTCATAATATTTGAAGCTTATTTTTGACGACAATTAAAGAACTCATATTATTTTTATATTATAGGTGGGCGTGGGTCAAATTAAATTATTAAAACCTGTGTTTATCGCATAAAACCAGAGAAAGCAATATGTACAACTTTAGTCTGCCTTAATATATATATAGGTATATATGCCTACGGTTAATGCTATCACTAAATATAGTGGTAATTTACTCAGTTACTTTCTCTGGTCTACGTTCAAACGGAGCACGTTTTAGACCTGTCCTCTGTCCCTGTCGTTGTCTTCAATTTGCCCAAATGACAGATTCAGGCCAGGACAGATATTTTCAACTTTCGGTATTGTCAGTTTGAAGTATTTTACCCTATATTTTTGCAAAAAAATATTAACACGCTTTTGTGTAATACATTTCTGTATTGAATTTTTGGACTCACTGTATTACTAGTCACTGTATTAGAAACAAATATTGATAATAGTATCAGTAAAATATAATTATTAATAAATTTTGCAATTATCTGTCATATATATATATATATATAGTTCTGAACTTTCGATACCTAACTAAAATTGAAGCTAAATATAAAAAAAAATTTGGCAACACTGTTTGTTTAATAAAAAAATCTATTGCATATTATATATTTTTGCTTACAGTTACATATTCGTTGATTTTGAAACTTTTAAATTTAAGTTTAATAAAGTATTTTAAAAATATTTATGTTGTTTTTAAATTGAGAGTGACTTATAAATTAATAATTTTTCTTTTCGTTTACATTTGTTACCGTTTTTTTCTGATAAATTTTACTATGGCTAATGAAGATTCAAAAGTAGATGGCTCAATTTGTCATACGATTTTAGAGAAAATTAACTCAATAAATGAAAATATTACTAAGGTAACTACTAGTACTTCAAGACCAAAATTATTCCTTCTTATACTTAAAGATAATTAATGTATTCATTTATTTCATGTTTCAATTTCAGCCACCAGACATACATGATTTCACTATTATAAAACCAATCAGTCGAGGTGCATTTGGGAAAGTATTTCTTGCCCATAAGAAGAGTAACAAAGAACAAATGTATGCAATCAAAGTAATGAAGAAATCTGATATGATTAATAAAAATATGGTAGCACAAGTTGTAACTGAAAGAAATGCACTGGCTTTATCTCGTAGTCCATTCTGTGTGCATTTATTTTATTCATTACAGTCTGTATCCTCAGTATATCTGGTAAGTAGCCAAGTTAAATTTATACTGATTTGGAAAATTTAGAAATTAATCTAAGATAAATAATAAAGTTATAGTGACCTATAGTTTGTTTTTTTATCACTGAGACAAAACAAACCTATGTAGCCTGTACTACTGTTGGAAATTTGAATTAACTATTGGCTGTTTGAAATACTGTAAATATTACTCTATGCAAAGAAACCATAAAAATATTGTTTAATTAAAAGACAATGGAAACACTAGTGTATCTATATGAACTAAAAAGAAACCAGAAAGTGTGTAAACTTGATGGAAAACCTATAAAACTTATTGAAAATAAAAAGTTATGTTTCAACAAATCCATATCATAGGTATAGTAGGTTGAACAGTGGTAACATTATTTGAAACTTTGATATATACACCTATCGATTTAGTCTCTGTAATAAAAAAACAGATTATATTATATTTTTAATGTTTATATTACAGGTTATGGAATATATGGTTGGTGGTGATTTAAAATCATTGTTAGGTGTTTATGGGTTTCTTGAAGAAGCTATGGCTATTTTTTATGTAGCTGAAGTAACATTAGCTCTGGACTATTTACATAAGCACAATATAGTGCATAGGGACCTGAAACCAGACAATATGTTAATATCAAAATCAGGTCATGTGAAACTTACAGATTTCGGTTTATCCAAAATTGAAATACATAGAGGTAATAGTAATTTATTTTAAATAAAATCAAAACTTTTAACTTCTTTACTGATGAGTCTATAAAAAGTATAAAACAAGAAATATTCTCTTGCAGAACTTTATAGAATTGTTCCTCTTTTTTGCTTCTCCATAATCAGCTAAAATTGGTAACTTATATTTTGTACATAAATATAAAACATCCATATCAAAAACATTCTTGAATACAAATGATGAGAGTAAATTTGTAACCACTATGAGGCAAGGTGGTGCATAAGTATCTAAAATTATTTATACTTATATGAATATAAATTTATTTATAGATTTAGAAATATCAGACTTTGTTAACCGAACTCCAAGTTTAAACATGAGGACTCCAGGGCAACTCCTGTCTTTGACATCTCATCTATCATTTGGCTCGGGAGGAGGTGAAAGTATGCAAAACTCTGTTATTTATGCAGATGCCTGTGAGAACCTACTTGATGAACTTAAGGAAACTAGTATGCTATTACAATTATATAGGGATTGTGCCTGTGTAGATAATGTATTATTGCTTTTAGCTTGCATCCTTAAATAATTCTAATTTTTTTTAAATAAAAGTGAACCAAATTTTTATAAAGTAAACACTATAGGATAATTTAGCAATATATTACTAAATATGTATATTATAAATTATGTATATTTAAAATATATTATTTTCTCCATCATGAGAAATACTTACGTTTGTTGTTAAAAAACTTGCTTTAATAGAGTATTAGTATTATTTTTATTTCTGCTATTTAATTTATTTTTTATAATTTACCATGATAATGTATAAAATATTGCCATGTTAAATTGCCTGTTTATGTAATTTGTACAATACTGTATTTTTATTTTATATGCATATATGATTTTAACTTTTTATTTAGTATTTATACATGTTAGTATTGCATTGAACTATATATCAATACATAGAGTTCTATAAATAAGACAAGGGGATTGAATGCATGGGGTCACATAATAATAAATGGATTAATTACATAAAAACATGTAGTAATAAAAATATTTGGGAATATTTTTTCTTTTTAATCTGTTGGAATGATTACATATATGTATAAATGGTAATTAAAATTCAAATAAATATTTATCATACAAGAACTTTCTCATAAATTCATTTGTTAATCATACAGACATACAGTCTTTGTAATTTGTATACTATGTGTATTTAAGTAGAACATTTTATTATCATTTTAATTAAATTAAATTAATATATACAGGTGGTTGGTTACTTATAATTTCGTACTTTTTTATGTAATTAGATGCCATACAAACTGATGTTCCAACTGATGGTGGGAACATCACGCTATCACGTGACGCCAGCGTTTTCCCTCATGAGATGCCATTACTGGTGACTAAGTTATCATGCTTCTTATCCTGTTAACTTCATTTAATCAAAACAGTTTTCAATGGAAGCTGCTTGGATTTTAAGTCTAGTCTGTCATTTGTAATAATTTTTTTAAATTTACGTATTTTCTATATTATTAGGCAAATTAAAAGATGAGCTTGGTGGTGTACTTGGTATAGAGACTTCAAATTTAATGGAACATTCACAATTGTCCGGTATACATCCTTTTATGAGTGCTGAGAGTATTAACTTAGATGAAATCTCAGTAAGTATTAATGTAACAATTTATAGACAACTCTTTTTTGTTATTTTATACATTTCTTGTAGTGAATATAATTTTTATATATTACAGTTACCTGGCTCAGGATCTGAATCTCTTAATTCTTACCACACCTGTGAGAGTTCAAAGAATAGTTCAAACTCTAGAAGTAACAAATCAACTACTGATGTAAGCAGTAACAATGGATCATCAGTAGAAGAATCGACAGGATTTTTGGACTCCCTGCACAATAACTCTACATCACCTCTATGCAGAGGCCAATCCTTAAAAAGGATACCTAGGTAAGTATATAGGTTTTATAATGTTATGATATTTGTATAAAATAGTAGAATGAAAATTTATTATTCCTGTATATTGAAATATTTTCTTTATGTTTATATATTTTAGTTTCAGAGCTAAAAAAAGGAAAAGAATACTGGACTGTGATGGTGATACACCTACAGGAGTTATGAGCCTTGCAGAGTCTAAGGAGAATACCAGTGGTCTAACACAAGAAATAATGGCTCTGGAACTGACTCAAAATACACCAAAGCGAATGTCGTTGCATCCCACTCCAGACAGACGCAAAAATCCTATTAAAGGTGTACTGAAAAAGAGGTGAAAATTATTAATTGTTAGTGTATTTAAATTGAAACTGTTCATATTAATGTAAAACAGAATTTAGTTTTTGTAATACTTCTATAGTTTATGTTAGATATCGATATTGATTTAAATCCTCGTAATTATTAAAAATAATTCTAAGCGACGGATTTACCTGTAGATATATACGGAGGGATACACTACACAAATGAAATTACTAAGCATATAATAAGTACGACTATTTTTAAGCTAAATATTTTATTATATTGATCATATTTTGAGTTTTGGCTGAATTATCTGCACCGTTGCACTATGCAAATAAATGTTTATTCTTCAGTAGGTACTTACTGTATGTACGTATGAAATAACGATTTGATGTTAACCATAATATCTTCAGAATACATATCTTTGGAAATTATAGTCCGAGTAATATATAAGTAATGTAGAATATTCTTACTTTCTAACTGTAATCGGTAGTGTTTATATTTTTTACGTTTTATTTATTATATGATAATTGCAGCATTTTTTTTTTCACTTTCATTACCGGTACTTTCGGTTTTTAATAATGAAATAAACTAATTTCTCTTAATGTAATACATTACGAAACTAATACCTCTACGAAATGTTTAGGTGGGTTTCTCAAGACGATAGTCATCATTTCAATGTTGGAGTGATATTTTCAACTCCCGTATCAAATAATAAAGAAGATGTAAAAAAGAGGCAAAAGGCTACTCGTTTTAATTTGCCAAAAGATGATCAACCAGCTTCAGGAACAAAAGAGAAATCAATTGTATTCAGTAAACATATTTCTACAAGTTTAGAAATATTTCCAATGAGACCATTAAACAAGGTAATATGATTGTTTATAATTTATTTTAAGTGTTGTAATAGGTAAATGCAAATAATTGGTCCATGTGTATAATGTATTATTTTGTTGTAGGGGGAACGCTCACCTACTGAATTATGCAAAACTCCTGTAGCAACTGCTCAGACACCTTACCGAACACCAAAAAGTGTCCGACGAGGTAATCAAATATCCGATCAGCGAATTTTAGGAACTCCAGACTATTTAGCACCAGAACTGCTTCTCAAGTAAGTTTTCTTATACTGAATAAGAAGTTTAGTAGTAGGAAATCGGGAAGGAGTTTTATGTTTTGCTAAAATTTCGATTATTTTTCTTTGGGAAACTAATTATATATGAATATAATTATAAGCTTTCGCTGTAATGCAACATATGCTAATTTTTCTATTTGTTTGGCTCCTAAAATATCAATAGTCCGGCATGAATGACACCTTAATATATGGTTGTAAGATGTCATAATTCGACCCTCTCCGTCCTTATTCATGTTGGTCATGTTAGGGAGATCATCTCCCTAGTGTTACATACATATTGTGCAACTTTACACTAGTAAACTTGTCAACAAAACATTGTAAATTATTTATTAATTTTTACAAATTTCGTGTTTTAATGCCTAGATATTAGAATATAAAATGTGACATCACGAAATTTAGCACCCCTTCCATCCCTTGTCACATACTGTCACGCTTTGTCGAGAGGAAGGAGGGACCTTCCTCTATACAACGACGTTATTGATGGGCCCTAAAGACGATTACTGTCTACTTACTTGTTATTATTGAGTGATTGTATTTTTTTTTACTTAAATGATATTAAAGAAATAGTAGACTATAGAGGGATTCACAATTTCGGAATAAGGATGTATGCTATAAATGTCTAATTAACGACTTATTTTTCAGGGATGGCCATGGCCCTCCCGTGGATTGGTGGGCTCTAGGAGTTTGCCTGTACGAGTTCATGACTGGTGTACCTCCATTTAATGACGAAACTCCCCAAGCTGTATTCAAAAATATATTATCTAGAAGTGAGTACAATAACGTTGTCCATTTATATCTTTATAAGTCGGGCTTATTTTAATTTTCTCAATATTTCACTGTTGTTGAATAATTTTAATCTACAGAATAAATGTTTTGAATTTACACAGTGCCATCTAGTCATTCAGCAGCTAAGGAGAGCTTGTATTATTCATGCTGATATAAATGATTTAAATACTTAGATTCTTATTTTTTTTTTGTAAATATATGTGTACTATATAGAGAACACCTAGATTAATACAAACAAACATATTCACTAATACGAATGTTTGCATTGTGCGAAGAATCGAACTCACGACCATCTTATCTCATTTTAAAAGTGTCGGCCTGATTTGAACTTTTCACTCGTGAGTCCATATTACGGTAGTACATAATAAAGCACTAGATCTCAGAGCGTTTATTTTTGTAAATAAATTTTAAAACATCATATTATCGATACATTATAGATATCGAATGGCCCGAAGCAGATGAGGCTCTGTCAGTAGAAGCAGTAGCTGCGATCGAGGGCCTACTTACCATGAAGCCGAAGGAACGCCCTACCGCGGCTCAGGTTCGCTGCATGCCGCTGTTCCAGCATGTCGACTGGGATAACCAACTGCGAGCCGAACCACCATTCGTGCCCTCTCCCGATGATTTGCATGATACAGGATATTTCCAAGGTAACTTATGTTTAATGCTTTTTTACATAACTACTGTAGGTCTCCACAAATTGCACAGTAGTTAATTAATAAAATATTTAGTATATTTAGTAGTCATTTTTTTTAGTTCATGCATTATATACATTATTTATATGCATGCGGTATATTGTATGATCTTTTTAGAAACACGTTTGTACAAATACTATTATAATACTTTAAAAGTTTATCTGGTCAGTATGAACCGACCAGACATACTTTTAAATACATGAGCTCAAAACCAGAACGGGACTTCAAAGTGTAACTAATAGTATTTTAAACAAACTTAAATGCACATAGTAACTTTGTATTTGAAGCAATATTGGAAAGCAAACTTAACTATAGGATACATACATCTATATATTTTTAAATCGAATTGGAGAGGATACAAGGTGGATACATATTATTTCTCGGGAAATCGTTGGGTTTTGTTCCCGGGAAATCAAGCTCGAGAAAAGTCGAGAACTCGAGAAATCATGTACTTATATAGAATGTTTTGTTGCATGGCGGCGCAATAATTTAAGATATTAACGTTTTCTTTCATGTTATTTTTTTTTGTTCTATAGAAACTATTTTTGTTTACGTTGTTTTTTTTTCTAAATAAGCAACCAAAAATGGTGCTGTCATTATAAATATAAGACTGAATAATTAGGTCCTAAAAAATTTAAATTGGCGTTTTGTAAGGGAGTAACCTAAAGTAATTTTTTTCAAATTATCATATATTTATTTAATCAAAGTATGTACCATTGCTATTTATGCAGTTTTGTCTTTTGCTTTTGCACTTTGGACTATCCCATCGGAGTTGAATTTTTTCCCTTGCAAGAAGTTATCCGAATTGAAAAAATGGTAAATGGTAATCTGTTGGAGCAAGGTCCGGGGAGTACGGTGGTTGTATTAGACATTCCAATTGAAGCTCTTCTAATTTTGTAACTCTCTGTTGTACAGTGTGTGATCTAGCGTTCTTGGCTCCAACCCCTGTTGCGGGGATTGCTTTGTAGGTCGAAATTTCCAGAACGAAAACGTTGGAACTAAAAATGCACGTGTTTTTTTTTGCTACACCACCGCCATATACATACATCATTAATACTTCGAGCCGTTTAGTACCGTGTGGCACTGGTGCCACGGCGGAACTCGTACTCGTAAATAACGCGATATTATAAGTTTTTTTCATTTTGTACGCTGAGTGACCCAAAGTAAATAGTTGTATAAATTTTAAAATGGAATTCGTAACCAAAGAGGAGATATTTGAGATCAAAGTGGCCAGTACGACACAACTCCAATTTCATATGTTAGGACCTACTATTATTACTCTATTTAAAAAAATATTTAGCTTATTCATAATATTAATGTTTTTAAATATACTCAATAAAAGTTTTATAATTAACGAGCTGTTCCCGTGACTTCGTCCGTGTGGAATTTTATTTTAATTTTCTAAAATAAAAATAGCCTAAGTTGCATTATGCAGCTACCTGGCAAAAAAAGTCCCGTCAAAATCGATTCAGCCATTTCAGAGATTAGCCGGTACACACAGACAGACAAAAATTGTAGACAGACAGTAAAAAATGTTATTTTGTGAATGCACCGTATTTATATTCATATGTAATATTGAAATAACCGTTTTTTACTATATAGTAAAAAACGGTATAGTAAAAAATATTACAAACAGACACTCCAATTTTATTTATATGTATAAATTTGATACTTTTATTTGAGAGGAAAACTACTGAATTTGTTGACGTTATTGGAACCAAATAATATGAGAAAACGTACGTAAATGTAAATTTCTCGACAACCCGAGAAGACCCGAGAAATTGGAAAGCTCGAGAAATCATGAACCCTATATAAAATTTGTAATTAACAGATTGGCAATATATGCTGTTTTAGGCTCATGATGTGAATATAGAGCAGTTAGTTACTCGCGATTGTGCCAGCATAAACTTTCGCTCACTATTTCTCCTCCTTTCAAATAAAGTTTTAAGTTTGAATAACTCTTGTTCGTCTTCGTCTCTTATTTAATGAAAGGCCAAATTTCATTACGTTCAGTTAAGCTGTTTATCTGTGAAAGGTAACAAACATACAACCACAATTTCACATTTATACATTATTTCATTATATTCATTATATTACATTCTTTCTTTTTTATTCACAGCTCGGAACATACTACAGCAGCTGCATGTATCGAATTTCGACATTTAGTAAATGGAAAAGTGCATATGTATAATAATAGGCGCCTATTTTAATCTTATGTTAATATTATATTTTTTAGATTTATTGTAATATATTAAAGTTTTGATGTAAAGACTGATTGCGAAGTGTTCTAATATAATAACTATTATAAGTTTTTGTTTTGTAATTATGTATGTAACTATTGTAAATGATGAATATATATAGTAACATTATGACCCTAATTATATTTATGGGAAGTTAATAAACAAATGCATATTAAACTTATGAAATTTTTATTCATAAAATGGAACATTTCCGTATTTTTCGTTTAGTTAAATATGCTATGGCTAATCGAACTTGTGTGGCCTGATTTGTTTCTTCAACTTATTAAGAAAGGCAAGAAACTCTAATTGTCTTTCTCAAAAGAATTGATGTATATACAAAATCCAGTATGCCACGGTCGTTTTATAGCAATTTCGCTTATAAGAAAATTATATCGACATATTGCTTCCTGGTTTTTATTTTGCTTTACTTCGAATTCTTTTGTATCCAAGGCAAAAAAGCTGTGACGCGCGTGTAAACACCGGGATACTGTCCTTTGCCGCAACCTATGCCCCAGGATACGATGCCTACTTGTGTCCAGCGACCTCCCTCGTTCACCATCAGCGGGCCACCACTATCACCCTATTAAATAGGAATTTAATATTAATTGAATTACTATCATGTATAGTATATATTGACGGCTTCGGTGGTCTCGGTGGTGGTAGTATTAAAACAATAGGTCGCTGCGGCGTGCTAAAGCACACCACTTTACTTCCGATGGTCGAAACCTCGCACGACTCAAACATTTATATTTACTAGTATGATTGCTTGTATTGGTCTGGGTGTTCTCTATGGATATTACATATATTTGGATAGAAATGTATCTAAGTATTTACATTAGTTGTCTAGTACCCATTACACAAGCTCTGACTATAACCAAAGACAATATTCTTCGGTTATTATTATAGAAGAAGTTTATATATATTATATTTAATTATACTTTCTCTGTAAACCTGTTTTTTCAGTGTTGAATAGAAAACTTAGTGTTTTACTAATAGTCTAGTCAACTTACACTACATGAGTCCATGCTGGCCTTGCCGGCGCAGAGCATATGCTCCACGATGCCACCTGGTGCCGCCGCACCGTATTTTTGTCGGCATTCAGGATTACCCCATATTGGGATAGATACTTCTTGTAAAATCGATGGTTGAGGGCCGCCTGGAAATGAATAGCTCATAAAATTACGAATTGTAGGTAAGAGGAAGTATCTAAACATAAATATTTTATATATACAAAAAAAATTACTAACTCTCTCGAAGACTGCCCCAACCAATAACAGTAGCGATGAGCCCTGAGTAAGCTTTCCCTCCGCTTGGCAAACAAACTGGGTGAATATTTTTCGTGAAAGGCACAGTTTGGTCTAAAGTTAGTACGGCAACATCATTATACTGAAAATAATATTTAATAGATGACACTAATTTTAATAATTAAATATTTGATAGGAAAAAATAGAACCCGTGACAAAAAAATTCGTCTGTATGCTGTCAGACAGAAGGACTCATGAAGAGCCTCATCTTTCTATATCACTATAAACCTCGGGAACTTATTTAGATATTATTTACAGTTTCAATGTCTATGGTGGTGTATCAAGTCTATATGTACAGGTACTTGCTACCACTGTCCAGGTATTAGCTTGTTGGACATTCCAGGCGTATAATAGAAAACGAATTTGATAAGGTACCAAAGTGCGCATGTCAAAGCCACGATGTCTCACTACACGCTTTATCTTCCTCTCGATATGTTGTGTTTCTGCATTAGTACGAATATTATAATCTCCAAGTCTAGCTGTTAGACGCGCCACATCCCACGATGTCATACTGGAAGTAAAACAAAATTATGATGTGATTCGTTTACTACTAAGTATAATTTCGGTTATATCATGGCATTCTCGTACTTACTGGGCGACGCAATGTGCTGCAGATAAGACGTGACGGTCATCAATCAATGACCCGCCACAGAACTGTCGACCAGAGTTGAAGAGAGCTACGATCCAAGGCCACTCATTCAAATCTGCATTATGACCACCAACAATCCTCTCTTCGTCTTGAAGATAAGTCTAGTGAATAAATATAGTTTCAGTATCAATTAAATTCTAAAACTGTAGTTAAAATGAGATTACTGGTAATGTAACATTTATATTCATGAGTATGATTGTTTGTATCGAACTTTTCTATATTATCTTTTACAAGAAAAATATATATCTATTATATCATAAAACAAGCTTTAGCTGGCTTAACTTGGGTCTAGACGGCGCTGTGTGAATTGTCCCGAGGTTATTATAATTAGGTAATATATTATTGATAATGAATACCAAATAATCATACAGCAATAAGAATAAACTTACAATTTCGTTTTATTTCACCAACGAGACTTCAATCGTGACTAAATTTTTATATAGTTCGCCATTATATATATTGATAAGAAATATAAAGAAGTGAAACGTTATTTTACTATGAAAAAAATGGGGAAGATCTTTCTCAATGGATTCCGCAAATCAAGTGCATCATACATTTAAAATTTATAGTCATCAGTTTAAGCGGTATATACATAGAGTACTAAGTATTTAAGGCAGACTTTCAGAAATGATTTTATCAATAACTGAATAATAATTTACCTGAGCGCCATTTTTAATTCCACAGCTGCCATCATGTGCAGGCTGTTGCGGCTTAGTCGGTGGCCTAGTTGGTGGTTTACTGGGCTGCGTTGGATACATAGGAGGCCAACTCTATAAACAACCGTTAGGTTTTATTATTCACTTTCCACGTTAATCAGCGCATGTTAGGTGCAAATTTGATCAATATGGGCAAGTAAATATATATGTTTAATACCCTAATTTGCGTAGGTGTGTACTTATAATCAAATATCTCATATGAAATTTTATTGTTATTTTTATATAATTGAAGTGGTAAGCAATATGCGGCCCACCTGATGGTAAAGCAGTACGGTCACCTATAAACAAGGACGTCACTAAATACAATGTGACGCCTACGTACCTGATTACCTTTATAAAATAGGTGGTGACCAATTTATCAGGAATATATGTATATTTCTACTATCACTGCTTATTATGCGTTATGTGTATTATGTTGTCGCGTTTCCGTATCCAGTAATATTATATAGAAAAGCAGCTCGAAAAGCAAATTAAATGGTGAGACAAATAGACTAGATACGCATTTTCTGTAATGAATTACTGATATTTAAACTGTTATGGTCCTTAATTATTATAGTTATAGTTATATATAGTATATTAAGTATATATGAGATTAAATTTCATTCTGAGTTTAAACCAATATATAGGTACTTAGTTTTACTTTTGCTGTATAAGTAGGTACCTGCTGATAGATATTTAATTAACCTAAATACGTAAAGTGAGTCGGTTGATTGATGATGAAAATACCTGTTTAGTGGTACTTGGAGGCTTCGTGGCCCATGTTGTTGAGGCCGGTGCTTTTGGAGGCTTTGTCGTCACACCTGCAACTAATAAAATCATTTGTATATATCAGAATTCTCACAATATTAGGTTATTAGATATTTACCTATATTATAAACTTAATAGACTTATTTGAAGCTGGAGTCGAGATAAATAAATAAATTACATATTGTAGATAAGTAATTTATTATCGACACTATATAATTAGAAATATGTTCAAATAGCCCGCTACATTTTTTAAAACGTTACGTATTATTAAACAAAAATTAAATGTTGAAGAAATAAAAATAACATTGACAGTTACCAATTGAGGGTGGGTGCGTGGGGGCAGTGTGATCAGGTGGATGCGTTGGTAATGGTGGCAGCGTCGGTGGCCACTGTGCTGGTATTTGCCTCACATTGATGTTACTTGGGAAGAGACCAGGTAGAATTCCGCTGGAAAACCTGGGAAATTGTTACATACATACATACATATATATATATTACAAAAAGCTTCCTCGTTGGTTATAGAGTTATTAAAGTGTACATTTTCTACCCTCTCTTTTCAGTCGTGTCATTTTCACTGATAGACAATAAAATTGTTAAATCGCTTGTAAACAATAAAATTACCCGTCTGACAGACAAAATATTGTATGTATTTTCTCTACCCATTTTATTATATGTTTAGCAATAGATAATAGCACAACTCTGTTTATAAAGTGACTTTGGGAAATAAATTATAGGGACAGAGGCATATCACTTTAGTTTTTGAAATGTTAACACATGTACATGGAGATTATGTAGATTTGTATGCGAAGGTTGTTATACAATAAAGCGAGGCGTCAGCATAAAAAAATATATAATATATGAGATACGAAAATGTAATATTGCCAATGTAGCTTTAAAAAATGCAATGCATGAGATGACAGTAGTAGCTTTATTTTGTTATGCCAATTTTTCATTGAATTGAGGTAATGGTCACTACTGTCAATCAGAAGGCCGTCAGCTTGTTAGTCATACTTTTATTTTTATAGTAGGTAGATATGTACCTACTAACCCGGATAATTGCATGGGCGGTATCGGCACAGGTAGGGCTTGCGGGAGGATGCCCAAACGTTGTACATCAGGCTCTTGCTGCGGAGGTGTGCCAACAGGTTCTGTGCAGCATACGCCAAATACCTGGTTCATATTTGAAAATCTATCACTGGAAGACAAATAATTACTATGGTTTTGTACTCTAACAATAATAAAATAAGAAAAAGTTTCATAGATAGGTGTGTTTCTAATAAAATAGCGAGATGTATCTATATGATATGTAGATGATATAGGGATATATAAAGGAATAAAAGACAATACACAGTATAAGAGAAGAGGACTTTAAATAAAACTAATATTTACACCAAGACACATATAACCTTACATTATTACATCTTTATATAAGTGAATGTATGAATTGCTATGAATACTAAAGTTTTACTGTGGAACAGAACTCTCTAATACTGCCTAATATTATGTTATCTTTCTCTGTTTAGCGTGATTTCCTCAGTTTAAAACAATTATCCAGTTTAAATTAAAAAATTCATAAATATTAATAAAAATAATATTTTTAACATTGGATGCTAAAAAAATAGTTTTTATGTCTTTTGGTCTCGTGTGAACTTTATAAAATTATTTAAAAAATTGTTCTATTTTCGGGATGTAATTTCTAGTAAAGTACACCTAACTTTGTCCTATTGGTTTAGTTTTAAATATGTACAAACAAAACATTACCTCCGTGTTGTCGTTGTTAATATAGCTACATGTATCGTAATGGCCCATGACCCATCCGTCCCATCCGGATAAATCTGCTACTTTGAATAGAGGGTAACAGTCCCGGAAGCTTTTACATGTCCCTTTTTTTCCGAGTGTTGTCTCGCACTCCAAGCCGAACTCTCCATCTGACTGTTGAAAAAGAAAATAAAATAAAGAACGGAAATTAACATATGGGTTAAAAATGATTAATTATAAGAACACCTCAATTTCTGGTTCTTAAGAAAACTTCTTTATTTAAATGTGAGTAAGTAGGTAATACTCTACCTAAAAAAATAAAACGCAAAAAAGGGCATGGACATAAGTCTATGGGGAGCAAAAGCGTAATTATGACATAACTACTCTACCTAAGTAAGTAAGTCGCTTAGGTTGTCAGAAAATATAATAAGTACGTACTAAATATATGTATTTTTGTAATCCATTTTTTAATACCAATAAAAATGTAGTACTACAAAGCAATTAAATTATGTAGATTTACATAGTGTAGATTTACGTAGTAATGTATTATTCGTACCACCATGAACTGGTAATAAGTATTGGATAAAGCTAAATTGAAGAATCATAACTGTCTATGCTACGGCTTCAACGATATCCCTACGATTGTTATAACTCCATCTTATACCGGTTTAAAACAGCTGTCTTTATTACTGACCTATGATAATTAGTCACGTACCTGTCTTAGTTGTAATAACAACATTTGCTTCGCATCTCGAGTGCCGTTTGATTCGTGGCGCCTTACTCGGCTAACTGACGCTGAAATATAATTGTAATTGATATGTAGTTTTATTATATTAAATTTAATGGATAATGATATCAGCCTGATATTATTAACTTTTAAAAAAGTTACCTAATATATAATTACCTACCTTATCCCATTTTAATTAAATAAGACTTAATATCGTGTAAATTATTTTAACTGTAGTACACACAAAATAAATATATAAAACCTAATTTCACCTACATGTCTCTGAATTTTAGTTCGAAACTAACAAGAGCTTATAAATAGTTTTTAACAACAGTTAAAACACAAACACAATTTTAAGTTTATTTTAAAGGTTTATATGATATTATATTACAAGTAAATAGAAAGAAACTTAATTAATCTACATACTGAAAACCTTAACTTACAGTATATACATAGGTTGAGGTCGTATGTTAAATTAGTAACCGCTACATTACAAAGTTCGCCAGTTAATAATAGTTTACCTTATTAATAATGTGATAGTTATATCGTTAGCAAGCATCTATTTGTATATTACGTGCCACTACAATTACAGTTATTTAATTTTGTGTTTGCTGGCGAGTAGGTAGGTACCGTAATGACATCAAAAAGGTAAGTAGGTAAATATTTTATGGAAACCAGTTAATATCCACACAAGCTTGTTTGACCGCTGCTCTTATTTATTTATGTTGATTTTTATGGTCGCACATTTCGATAACATATTATTATAGTGAATGTTATGATATCTCAAAATAGACACTAATTATCATTCTTTATAAAAACAATAATAATAATAAACGTGCGATTACTACATCAAAGTATTAACTATGATAGAGTAAATAAATTTATTATGATTATTGGACCACTGCTGTATACTATGGCAACGCGTTTCCCATCGAAAGAAGAGTATATTATATTGGATTACCACTGTAGCCAGGTTTTGCTGTTTTATTTTACCTCCTATGCATCGAAATGACATGCTATGTAGGGATGACATCTTAGTCCTCTGATTTGATATCCATAATGCTCTTCATATGTCAAGTGAGATTAATTTGCCATTTCAGTTACATAAAAGAATTGTTCTTGGTTGTTCCTTAGTCATCAACATAGTAAGAAATTATGATTGTTATAATAAAACAAAGAACGGAAAGAGTAAAACAGTCGCAAAAACAGCAATAATATTTTTCAATTTGTAAATTACTTTTGAGAAATTGTAAATCAGTTAGTGAAACCTTAAAGGATCAAAGTTTAGTAGATAATTCTTAACATAATTAGGTAGGGACTTTATTGTTTGACATTGAGTTTTATTGTTATTTACATTGATATATATTAGATAGATACTTTTTGTAAAATAACAATAAATTAATATGTATAATGCAATGTTGCAATATATTAAATAATATCTATATTTAGATATAAAGATCGTACTTAATTCCTACTAATATTATAAAATTACTTTTACCCGTCATTTCATTTGCATTAATGAGATGCGTTGATTGACTGGCTAAAAGCCCTTCTCAATTCCAAACAGTGCGTGTGTGCCTTTCATAACAATTGATTGAGTCACTAAGATGGTAACAAACAAATGAATGAACTCACTTTCATATTACAGTATGGTTAGTAATATTTACTTGAGTTTATTTGTTTGTTATCCGCCGCCAACTTCCTAAGAGCCTTAAAATATTTTAAGTTTTTTTAATATACCTACACGTAGTATTTATAAAGGACCGATATATATATATGCTACTTAATATTTACCCAATTTGTCATCGTTTCCAGTACGGCGGTTACCAACACAATTCATACAGCGCTATCTAATTCCAAACTAACCAGAGCAGAGCTTGTATTATGGGTACTAAGCACCTAGTAGAAATACATAAATACATTTATTATCAAATATATATACATGAGACTGTGGTAAGGTGGTAAGATAGTGGTAGGGTATAATGTATACCACGCGGTCCCTCCTGGAATATCGTGGTTAATTCCAGGTATATTCACCGTAGTGGGCTAACTGACCTGTCTTCGTGTTTATTTTATCACCGGTGTCCAGCAAAACGGTATATCATCAAATTGTCATCTATACAATTATTTTTATAAATATTAACAATCTTTTTTTAGCCTAGTTGAATTTCTTTGAAAGTAAACCTATAGTTTAGGGAGTGCTATTAGCAATATTCATGTGGGAATGGGAATTATTTATTAACCTATAACAAAATGGCCTACACACGACACTAAAATGTTTTGATAAATCAATGATCGCAAAATTATTTGATTTGTTGGATCAAAATCGGCTCTATAAGAAATCAGCCTTCGCTACACATGAGGCGAAGTAGGAACCGATCAGGATTGCGGGCGCTCTCATCACTGCTTCGACATTGCCCCAGATTTTAGTGTCGTGTGATAATAATAATAATAATTGGATAACGGATAATAGATATTGATATACTCTCCTTATACCTATTACATTTTTCTGTTATTTACCTATAGTTCTCCCTATATAATTTTAATTTTTGTTTTGTTACTTTACATTGTTGTTTTTTCTTACTTCCAATTTGAGGCTGTACTTATAATTTGATTATCAGATCATTAAGTATTTATTTATATATAATATTTATGTACGTATACTATTTGTTTACATAAATTTTTACATAAATATGTTGCCTTATATATATATATATATTTTACATTTCTCATTTATATTAGTGTACCGCCAACAATCTTTCTCTGCACCACTCATGGTTAAGATAACGCCGCAAGATGTTAATTCCGCCATATTAAATAATAAAAAAAATATATACGGACGGTCTTAAGTTGATCATATAAACGACGTACTGAAAAACGACCATGTTTAAAGTAAACTCCCAGTTTGTAGATACAGATGAATGTAAGGAACGCAAAACAGGTATTTTAACTTGATTTATTTCTTCTGTTTGAGAATTTTAATATTGACAAAATTCTGTAGTAAAATCCAAATATTATATATAAAGGCGAAAGAGTCTTGTGTCACAACTAAACATGTGAACCTGATTCTATGTTTATTGTGAAGATAGATTATATCAGTTGACGGACATAGCACTTAGGTACTTTATTTTAAAAAAAGGAGACAAAGTTGCTGGTATCCTTTAGTATATAAGTCGGTTATCATTTAATAGGGATGTCTATCGCATATACGCAGACAAAAATATCTACTACTAAACATGCACTGTGCTCTAACAATTTGCTAATTGCAAATTTGGTCCATTTCATACAGGTATAATTTCAGGTTTTAGAATTTCGTGTCTATTCGATATAATCAACTTTCTGTACCTATACCTAATAAAAATAAAAACAATTCTTACTTATTGTTGACAAAGCATGGTCGGAATTAATTTACTTTATTTTTTATTCCACCGATATTAAGGTCAAACAGGTACACATTATGAGCTTGTGTACCGTTAACATGCAAGTAATTTATCTGGTATCCCTGAATAACGGTTCCCTTTAGGTTTATTGTGACGATTTTATTGTTGCCCAATGGCATTCGAATTGTAAAAGCATTATGTGTCCAGCATTTCAATACTCTATGGTTGGCACGTGCATGACTTATATTATAAATGGCAAAAATAAAATGGAATATATATAAAAAAAAAACAATTTACGAAAATTTATAGACTTAGGTACTCAAATTCAAAATTCAGAGTGTTGGCTGGCACCATTCTATAAGTAATTATATTTCAGTGGCTTCACACATAACATTATTTTCTAATAATATTTCATAAATATTATTATACTTTAAATTTAATCAATAAATAAATAATTTCGGTAACACGTTTCAATTTTTTGCATAATTTTATTCCTTAGTTATGTAACTACCTAATGTGAAATAAACAAAATTATATAAGAAATTAGTTTATGGATTTAAAAAATCGTAAAAATAATAATCGTCGTATCGTCGTCGTATTTGAAAATATAATTATAATTTTGTTATTTTGTCAAAAATAGTACAAATAAATAAAAATAATACGAATATTGTAACAAAGATCAGTAATATTTAATATTCAATTGATTTACCTGTGGTACTACAGATTTTTTATTGCTTCAAGTAGCTTTATTGAATCACATTATAATTGGTTCATGTAGTAATGTAATAAAAACAATCTATACATATATATGACCTTTAAAGGTATCTTATACTTTGTTACTACTATAAATATGACTGCTGCAATGTAATTAGGTAGACTGTAATTTAGTAACTTCGTATAAAGTTGAAAAAGTAATATAGAAGCTTCTAGATAGTATAGATTAACTATAAACTACAGGAGTAGGCTGAAAAGGGAAACAATGATCCCAACACTAATAATGTACTACGTCGGCCTCAAATAGGTCGTCCCTGGAAACCAACGTTGTTAATTCTATTTGAATTCCCTACGATGAGGTAAATCATATTACTTCAGGCTCATCCCGCCAGGGTATACCTTTAATTCAATTTCATAATTATGCTACAAAAATAACTACAATAGTTGAACTATAAAAGTCAGTCAATAACGAATAGCTGTAAGCAGATACAATTAATCTGCGGTTAGGATTCCGGGTTCAGCGATCGAATTAAAGGAAATGTCAGCAGTGTTACTCCACTTCAATCTCCCGTCTCTGATCTAATTAATGTCCTCGAAGCGAGTCACAAAAAATGTACTTAGACGCAACAGCCGCTGTTGTATGGACAATGCTTTGATTGATGCGGTCGCTTGCGTCGCATGGCGTGTGGGCGGCAGGATTTGCATTCAATCGAACTTATAGCTGTTCGCCGAATAATAACCCACGTGTTTAAGATGAACCATCTCGCTGAGGTTGGCGACAATTTAACAACATTAGCTACGTGTATGATAAAATAATTTTATTCATCTACTAATATAATCAAATGAATAATTTATAAACTGCTAATGTAGTTGATAGTAGTCAATAATTTTATTATTTTAGGATATAAATATGTCAAAAACCAATAATTTATATCCGATCGCATTTTTCACCATGACCGGACATCTTAGTTGCAAATTTTAACTTTCTCTAGCCTCAAAACCTCATACTGACATGTGCGACGTCCATTGTTTTGAGTCCACACCTTACGAATACTTAACACTAAACTCTTTCCCTGAAGATTTGATGTAAACAAATGAGTATTAGATATTTGCTACAGTTATACCTTGTGTCGAATAAAATATTGATATTTTATAATATAAAGTACAATTTACTAAACACATATATCAAGAAAGGTTTGAGAAGTCCGTCCTCACCTCATTTGGTATTTACATTTACACAAAATATTGTGTTATTGTGTAAGTTTTTAATTTAAAGATTTTGAAGAAAACTTCAAAGAAAATAAATCTTATTAAATTTGGAACGAATATGACGTTTGGCGTGTGTAATGTGGGTAGGTATAAAATAAACACAATTATATGAAACTGCATGTGGAATATATGGTTTACACACAACCTTCATTACATGTACATAGTACATTCTAGCCACCGGCGTAGGTCAATAGTAAATTGAAAAAAACTGGTTGCATACCTCTGAAATGTCAAATAAGAGACTATAAGCTGCGATGGCTAGATTATATACGTAGCTTCTAGTCGGTGGAGGTATTGTCATAGGATTATAATTATTAATTGTTTTTATTACCATTTGTATTAATGTTTCGAATGATAATTAGATATTAAAATGTACGTATCTAAATACTTACCATCTATAATAACTGCATCATCAGTATAGAGTTCGCCATCCCTTGTGAAAAATCCTTTACGAACATCGGAAACACTCCCGGAAATAAACGTCAGGTTATATATGAAAAAAAATATTATTTTAATTCTTAACATTATGTTGCTAATTATTAATATTTCTACATTCACAAAATTTAAACTTAAATATAGAGAACGGTTAGACAGTAAAAGGGGTAAGCCGGACGCCGCGTTGTGCGGATGTGCGGCCCACAAGGAGTCGCTTCGCAAAATGCTTCGGCCTCTTAACTCCGCGCCTTTATAATATTTTTACTGACGCTTTATATTAGGTTGAAAAAATAACAGAGCTTTTTCTCCTTTTGTAATCGACTGACATTCGCCGTCCGACACAAACGAGCTTTTTAAAACATAACAACTATTCGGTTCAGTTGTTCGAAAAGGCATCGATTTGTTTGTGTTTATTTTTGCCGGGTTCACGTGCAACAAAGAATCATTTAGAGGATCAATGAACTTCCAGTAATTATTAAGCATGGTGTGTAACAAAGATTATAAATTATTGAACCTTGGGATATTTTATGACTCTACATAAGGCTATAAAGCTTTAAATTGATAACTTATCTCCTTCATAGTACCTATTGCACTTCATTTCAGACTGCTGAATTATTACTGCAGTTTTCTTCGCTGCGGTTCCGCCGAGTGAAAACGAGCCTACCTTTAAACATTTAAGTGCAATAAATGAGATCTTCAAGTACTTATCTTAATAAATATTTTTGACCACCTGTGTTAATGAGATCTTCATGTACTTATCTTAATAAATATATTTGAAGATTTAAGTTAATTTTATATTTAGTGATCTGCAGTCTGCACCTAAAAGGTAAATTTATTTTATATTTCATAATTTTTTTAATTTGATTTAATATACATATTTCATACGACTCAGTTTTCAATATATGATGGAAAATATGGAATATTCCTTCTTTGTCTTCGAAGTTTCTGAATGAAAAAAATCTAAAATAATTACAGCAAAAACTAAGATATGTGAAAGGTATTAGATAAATTCAAATGAAAAACAGTTTTCTAAAAATAGTAGAAATCCACAAAAATGTTATTCGGTTCCCTTTTAAAGTCAAATTGAGTACAAATACAAATGAATATACTACTTAAACAAATAATACATTCCTTATTCTAAACCTTTAGTGCTCGTGTTCGATTCCCAATTTGTCAACTTTTTTACCTTTTGAATACTCTTTTACTTAAACATGGTTACGAGTCCGAGTTACGGTCGTCGCTTCCATCCGATTGTTCCGAACTTGACAACATTGGGATTATTTATCAAATTGATTTAACTAATAAAAGCATGACAAAAATTGACAGGCATTGCAATGTCCCCATTTTTATAAGCAGTACTTTTTGTACTCGTCACTTCAGGACATGTGACTTTATTTCGCGGATAAAACAGGCCTCTATAATATTGAGCATCAATACGAGTACATGCAGTTTGAAAAGCTACGTACACTATGCAACTTTTGTACATTTATTCTGTTTGCCTGGTGCTGAAAGCTATTCGTGACGTTATCCTGCATTAAGTATCATTATCCCGTAGTTATTACCTGCCTACTTATTATTCTTCAATTTATTTACAACATATAAGATAAGGTAGTGACATTACAGGAATAACATGTTAGTCCTTCGGAATGACAACAGTGATATTACAGGCGGTAGTTGAAAACGTATGTCTGTTTATGTATTCTGGCGACAGCTACAATTACCATCAGTTTATAAGTCTATTCTAAATTCATAAAATAATACCAATTATTATCTAAAGAGATACGAGTATATGGTAAGGGACGGGCTTATAACGTACAGTCAAAATAAAGTTGTTTTAGCATATTTATTATGTAATATATATAAAATATTTATATATAAGTATGGTGTACAAGTTGCTGAACTATAAACTTGAAACTTTGAATATTGTTTAGTTACTCTGTACTAAGATGACTCAAGGCAACATGGGACTATGTTAAATAATCACCACAATCTTCATTATAACAAGTATTTTAAGGTAACCGTATGTATATACGTTTATAGTACATAGAAAAGGTGAGAAAATCATTGCATAATTCCGTAAATTATAAAATGATTTCTACAAATCTCTAGTTTTTGTTTTTAACACCAAAAACTTTTTCTATACAGATAAAAGTTAAGATTTTTTTAAAATTCGTAATAAATAATTTTGTTAACCCTTTTCAGAACAATTGCATTTTCGTGAATTGGGCTACCATTCTATTAACAATGGTGGCCAATTTGAGCTAATAATAATAAATGCTGGCAAAGTAACAGAGTCATGGAAAAGAGTGTGTATGAAATAAATTATCTACCTAGAACGGCGTCGTAAATTCTCCTGGAACTATTGATTACCAACACTACCGATAGGGACTGCGTAGAATTGAATACTTAAGGTATAATCTTAGAATTAGAATGATGCTAAAAATACCAGTAACTAATAACCCCTCAGATTTAGTTATTCATTGTTTTACAAGTGTTAGTATCATAAATAAATACAAATTACACATATATCTTTTCGATATAGCAATGTTAACGAGAGAGGTAGTATGTACACATTAAAGTATCATATACATATTCCAGATATTCTTTAATGCTTTATTATGAAGTAGGGTATTCAACAATTTAACGATTTTACTAAATTTGTATTATTTTTTGACAATTTGTTATATATGGAAAAGGTGATGTTCTGAAATACTTAGTAACCATTGTAAATCATGCTGAGTTGCATACGAATAAAGCTCTGCTGCTCAATATTGACAACAATTAAAAGAATGTAGGTCGTGTTGTGTATTAGATAGCTATATGTATAGGCAGTGATTTTTTTATTTGTAGTTAATTTTGATTCCTATATATATAAATAAAACTAGTTATAATAAAAACAAGTATTAAATAAAATTTAATGCGTACTGAAAATGAGTTTTTATTTTTACCGGTTTCAATGAAAAGTTATTGAGCTAACTGACAGCTACTGTCAACTATTATCTAAGAGAGTCTGGATGACAAACTGATAGCCATGTGTTACCTGGCGATCCTGTATGCGACTGACATCATGCGATGCCATTCAATTTAGTTATAAAGTATTCAAGTTCACAAAGGTTTGATGACCTGTTGAATCATTTTTTAAAGTCGATAAGCTCATTGAACCTAAATGAAAAAATGTTTTAAATCTTTCATTAAAGCTGATTAGGTCGCGCTCATAATGAATCATTGCCATAATTTTATGTTTTTGTTTAATGATCTTGATATTTCTCATTTAGGATTCAAAAGAGGTTCAAAAACAAGAGCAAGGATAAAATAATTTTAATATTAACGCAGGCATATAACGCATCGCAAAAACCTAAAGGTCAATGATCTTTTGGCGGTAAAATATAATATTCGAACCGAGACGTTCGTGTACGTTCAGCATAGCTTGTCAATAGTAACTGTTTTATTGAGTACTCGGTACCTACTTAGCTTAATGCCCACATGTATCACACAGTGTATTTGTCTAGATCACAAAAACAAGATCGGAATGTAGATAGCAACCAAATTTCGCGAACGAACTGAACAAGCGAGTCGATTAGATTTAAACGCGTACGATAATAGCGTCATTAATCTCACCGTATTCCGTTATATGTACGTATGGATAATCAGGATCTTTTGAGATGGTATATAAAGTTTCATTACCTGATCTCATAATATATTAGATGTAGTGATTAGGCAAGTTCCAGCCAAAAATAATGTTATAGAATATTTATTATGGTATGTCTACTGTGTCTTCACATTTACGTTACAATGATTTACGTACGTTAACGAGTACCTAGGTATGATTCAGTTACCATAGGTAGATAGTTAGAGAAATACTTTACTATTAGGTACCAAAACGTTATAAATTATCACATTGTACAAATGTTTACTATTTATATAAAACAGACTTAATAATATAAAACAAATTTAATAATAAAACGAAATTTTCTCAGGAGAATTTTGTGACGCACTAGTACTTAACTGTATTGCATCTTAAAAACTTCTATGTTAAAGTAATAAATTTAACTGGTGCCATGTATAAATTTACACAAAAACTAATGAACGGATTTTGATTAATCTTGACATTGATATAGCTTATAATTATATCACATAATACATACAGTACAGTAGTGTGTTACTGTACTGTGTATATTATGTGATATAATTATTATTAAAAATAATAATATAGTAAATTAAATTATACATTACACGCTCGCTGCGTCATCTATTCCCTACTACACAGCTGATAGAAATAGGTACTTAAACTCATGTTTTTTATATATACATTGGTCAGGTTTATTACGACACATAGAAAACCAGACCAATACAAAGAGTCATATTTAAGAATAAAATGATTATTGTGAAAGACAAAGATGTTGTTATATACCGTTACATCACCGTCAAAAATAAAATGTAACTACATAAAATATTATTATAATTTGCTGAAATATAGGTGGGCATAAATATAATAATATTGCAAGCTGAGAGTTATTTTAGCGTATACTGGCGTTAGAGTTACGTTAAGATCATCTTAGGATATTATTTGGTATCGTATAGTAGGATTAAGTACTAAAAAAATCTATTAAATAGGAAGTCATCGTAGCTCGATTAGTGAACAATAATTATGCTTCAGTTAGAAAAATGTATAGTTGAAAACGTGGTCCTTTATTCCTAAATAATTTGGATATATAGTTTGAAAGTTGCGACAATGAGAACGACTGTTGGCTGTATCCATTTTGCGAGTTGTTAAGTTATGTGATTGTAACCTAAAAACATAATAAATTCTTACAAGGTTACGTATCAGAAGATTATTTATAAAAAATACATATGCAGACGAAGTCGAGGGCAGCCTCTAGTGTAAGGTAATATAAGACGATGATATGACGTCAAGCTATAATAGTATTGATAATAATATTAAACTCAAATTAAGTTCGCATTATAAATATATAATAGATAGCTTATATACATATTTGTTTTATTTACATCAACACATACACATGCAATATCACAATTTTCAACGAAGTATAATTTATGAAAAAACAGATTACATAAAAAAGAAAACAAATATATAAATATATATAGGTATATATATACATGAAAAAAAACAGATTACATAAAAAAGAAAACAAATATATAAATATATATATATATACATGAATTTTCCATACATTGTTTTATTACCTTCTGAGGAATAAATCAATTTAAAAGACGATTTAGCTCATTTATAATGGCTGGGAATTTTTTGTCCATATTGTAAAATTCCAGAATATACGTAATAAAATGAAGATGCTAAACATAGCGTTATATATGAATCCAGTACGCATGCGCGGATACGTAAGAAGGTATTATCAAAAGTTATATGTGTGGATCTGAGATCTCATCGAATCGGCCTGTTGTCAAATATGAAGATCTTATTATATATATAGACTATATCATATATAGTCGTAATAATACATGTCAAGATTTGGCATATACACAAGATCGACAGTTCTCTACTGCGATACTGTTGGGAGGTTTGACATCACGTTTTGTACATTAACGTCGTAGTGTTGAAGTGACTATTATCAAAAGTTGCTCAGAACGACGGAATTTCATACTTCGCAATTAAAAGAGAAAAAGTAGAGGCCTATTATATGTTTTAAATGTATGGACATAGTCCTGAATGTCCACTTAAAAGGGACAAGAAGGGAAATGTATCCAAAATAGAACAGGATATTAAAGATACAACGGATTACCTTTGTCCTGTAGTTGTATCTAGATTGGAAAACAGAAATTGTGACAAATGGATAATTCATTTATGGAACATCAGTATATATGACTTCACACATGGTGAATGGCTGAAGAAATATTGTCGATTCGGTATGGACTTACTCAGAAAAGGTCTAGCCGTTTGAGTGGAGTACACGGAGGTTGAAAAGGAACCGTGTATATATTTTACTATGTTGTATTTTTGATACTGTTGTTTTTGTTACGTTGTATTTTGTTATATATATATGTTTTGATTACGGGAGGATATGTTGAGAAAACTCTTTTGATATTAATATATTTAAAGGTTTCTTTCTATTCTATAATCAAAAATATAAAAACAAATTATTATATTGTGTCACCTTCTCTATCTACCATAACATTAAAATACAATTTTCAGTCATTAATAGTTTTATTACATATTTATACAACAGAGTCTCATCGAATCGGCCTGTTGTCAAATATGTCTTATTATATATATACTATACATATATACTAATAATAGTCTCAATACGCATACAGCACACATACATAACGTCGTGACTATTATCCCGGATGGAGTAGTCAGAGGTATTGTCAATTGTAGACGTTATGGTCATCAACGCCATACTTGACATTGCCACATCGGTGGATACATCATTGAATCACATGTTTGATTCAAAATGCAGAATGCGTGCCTACCGCCGTTTGAAGGAATATTTTGGTTCTTGTTATTGGTGTTTCCTTCACCAGAGAGAGTCAGTCCGAAATGTAATTTACAGAAACCATAAAAAATAAACATAGTATTTTTTTTGTTCAGGACAGATTTGAACTCAAACTTAGTTTAATAAACCGCTGGACCACAACGTTGTAACAATGAATAGATTTAAAAAATGTAGAATAGCGATAATAATTCGAACTTGAGATATAACTCAATTTTTATTCTCTTGCAATTGTATATATGTCTACTTGTTTTTTTCGCCATGCCGTGAAAATGACAACGAAATAATTTACCTATTTATTAGTAATAAGTTTTAGTTTTAAAAAAGTATTATATAATAGTATATACATATCTACTTATGTTGTATATTATTGGAGTGAATCATGAATTACTTGATGCTGTTTGGCCTTACTGTGTCTATGAGGTCGCTTCAAGTGGTGGATTGGCTTTGCGTTGATATTCATTTTGTGTGATCATCTTCATATTAAAAATGAGTAAATCGAAAAAAAATACAGAACTATTTACCCTATAGATAATTAGATACCCTATTGTTACCTAAATATACTAAGGAGAAAATAATAGAATTGTGTCTATTCTGTCATCTAATGATTACCTTGTCTATTATTGTTCCTAGTTCCTTGTATATTTTTGTCTATTGCCTATGTTTGTAATTATAATCGGAGGTACCTACTTTTGAGTACATAAATGGTAACACTAGTCGACATTGAGATGCAGCTGTTAGGTAAGTTTATGCAATCGGCACTTAACAACTCAGCTTGTAGTTATTACATACTGCTCCATTCTCGAGACCAGACCAGGTGAAGCATCAGAACACGCAACTCGTTCGTAACTCAAATCAGAGTCATAATTTTTTAAATAAATAAATTATTTATTCTTTATTTTGTTTCAAACTTAATAATGTTACGTTACACGGTTTTCGTACTTAATATATTGTGGACAGTTTGTTATGGATATATAGACATTGGTAAGCGATCACTAATCTTGTTTCTACACCAAGTCAACTTCATTATTTATATATATGTATATCTAATTTTAGATATGTGTCATTTGACTGTGAAACATAGATGTTGTAACACAGGATAAGCGCGGATGCCCATAACAGTTTTTAAATTTGTATCTGGATTTAAAAAAAAATACAAATTTAAATCAAAAATACTTTTATCTTTTGTTGCTGTCTCTACGTATGAAAAATATTATAACAAGTTTATTGTATCTGTACATACTTTCTTATAACTTAGTTGTTTTATAGATTTTAATGTTTTATTATTACATATTTAAACAGTACACAATTATACATTTACGTATGTATGCTTGTAATTAGTTCTTATATAGTTAGATGATAGATAGTTATATAGCAGAATAAATATAAAAATAAAAAGCTGCTCTAACAATGTGGATGAAAATTACTTTCATCTACATATATTATGTAAGCCCTAGTTAAAAAAGTGTAGATATATTATAAAGAATATTGCCATTTTCAAATCTATCCAAAAATCTCTTTAGAATAGTAGCTACCACTGTTTGATATTTTATGCTGGTGTTGTCAAATGTTTTTTACTTTTAATCAATAGTCTTTAACGTATTATGCTCGTTGATTATCGTTACTTTATCGAAAAAGAGCAATGTATATCTATATTTTCGGCACGTCTGAAATATGTCACATGCATAATGAAATGTTGGCAAGCAAGTAATAAAGCACAAATACCTACCAACAATAAATTTCCAATACCTGTAGTTAATATTATTATTTAAATAAATTACTTGAAATCATATTATTGCAGAGAAATATTTCAAAGTGTGCGACAGAGACGCAGACGATGTGAACGATTGTATAGCTGAAGCAGTACAAGGTGGACTGATAACCGTGGCTGATGGAATCAAGGAGATGGGAGTGCCACCAGTGGATCCGTATCGACAAAAGGATTTACGTGCCGAATATAACAATAATCAGGTAACATTATAATGAAATAAATAAAAGCAATAAGAAAATGAAGCATAGACGAAACAATTGTTTAAATATACATATACATAATATCTATATAGGTAGGTATATAAGGAGTATAAGTTGAAGGTGATAAAATTGTAGACATTTATTTTATAGTATCTGTATTAAGAATATCTGGGTATCAAACATTTTTAGTAGTATTTATTATTTTTACAAGTGAGTAGAAAATCAAATACCCAGAATTCAAACAAATTTACTTCTTTAAGTATACCTACTAGTTAGTTGTGACGTGTTTTATATACCATGAAGGTAATATACAAGGATACAATTATATAAGCTCCATTTAAAGGTGCAGCTTTAGTAGGTAATGATGGTAACGACAATAAAGAGGAAAATTGCAAGACCTACATTATTATATTTTTACTACAACACTAGTACCTACTTACAGATTGTAAATTATATAGATATTAAATTTATTTTCAGATTTCAGCTAAAATGCATATGACAGACATTTACGTACATGGATTAAAATTAGCGAAAGTCAAAGATGCAAGGTTGGTTAACTAATAATTGTTTTTCATTTTCCAGAACGTTCTTTTATATATTCAAAGAATGTTCTGAATATACTACATTTTTGAAATTAGTCTTAATATCCGATTAAAACGACATGAATTGCTAATTTCTTAGCTATAGATATGTGATTTATGGTTTTAATAAAATCAACGTTATTTCATTTAGATTGCGTGCCGATGATGATAATTTTCATTTGGAGGTTGATATAGAGACCCCAAGGGTGTTTGTGACTGGCCAGTATGAAGGCGAAGGACGCTACAATTCGTTGAAGATCGTCGCCAAAGGATCTTTCAATAGCACTATGAGTTCGTATCATTAATATTTAAAAAAAAATTGTCAAAAGTACTGGAGAAGTTTGAAATTTTTGCATAACCGATTCGATATTCGATTAACCTCTTCAGGTCTAAACCAATTGTGAACTAAGGAAAAAAGCCTGAGTTTTTGAGCCTGAGACAAACAAAGATTTTGATTGAAAATTGAAAATCTAATCGTAAATGAAATTGGAGATGGTGTGAATGTTTAAGATAGGTGTGTGGTAAAGGCCATTAAAATTAAATTATATATTACAAATTATAAGAAAATTAAGAACATGGCAATATATTACTGTGTCATGTGGAATTTTCTTTTTTAATAAACTGTTGTAGATTAGATTAATTGTAGTATTATTTATATAATGGCAACTAAAACAGAAAATGTGTAAATGTACATTTTCTATTTTGTTGTACAATTTTGCGTCTGTAAGACTTTTGATTATGATTGTGGGACAATATAACCTATAGATACTATTCGTAATAAGTAGGTATATGATTATGATTATTGTATTTAAAATAAATTGTTTTAGCTGATTTGGTCTATACATGGAAATTAGATGGAGTGCCCGAAAAGAAAGGAAATGAGACATATATGAGAATAAATTCCTTTTATATGAGGCCAGATGTCGGCAATATGGTGTCATATTTAACTAATGATAATCCTAACAGCAAAGATTTAAGTAAGTATTACCACTTTATCACTTTAATTATTTTTAAAAGAATTATTAAACTATTAAAAAAAACAGAAATAATCAACAATGAAATAAACTGAAAAGGCAATTCTAATTATTCCTATAATATTTTTTTATTTTGAACTTAACAACTACAAATCTATTGATTTATATTGAATACAAATAATTAATAATATTTATTTTATATATTTTTAAAGACTGAAGAGGTAATTCCTTATTTTCAAATTACTTACTCTATGGTAGGTACCTACCTCCTACATCGCTACCTATACTCGCTCTTAGGTATATGTACTTAGGTATACTATGTTGTAAGTGAATAACACAATTAAACAAGTATGTTAAACATACCTATACTAATAATTATTATTTTAATAACACGAACACAAACCATTTGACGTAAACAAAGTAAAACAAATAAGTATGCAAGTCATGTACAATAACTACTTGGTCATCTGTCGTAATGTAATGGTAACACTTATGTACCATACATACCTAATTATGACATATTAGTTTACTGACACCACTTCAACAAACTTATTTATTTACATACATTACTTTAATTAAACTGATTTTACAACACAATCAAGACCAAAAACGACCTGTATTTTATTTATTCAAGTATTGGAGATAATAGGTATTGAATGTATAGTGGAACCAGTTTAATTAAAAATATATAAATTAATAAATTTGTCCCTCTAGTGTCGGTACACTAAACTATATGCTACTCGTATACCTATATATTCCAATATATTTCACATTGTAAATACCTACGTATATAGCACCAGTCTCAGAATTTAGCCAGCCATGTGCAAAGTCTACATATAGTATAATACTTATTACATTATAAACGTTGTCATTATCAAATAACAGACTACCACTAATGAAGACGCAGCCAGAGGTAGTCTTCTATGATAATTACTAGGTATTCATGCTATAAAAGCAAAAATAAATGTATAAAATTAAGGATTTTTTTAACCAACAACAACAACATACTTTTACTAGTGCAGAGCACTGTCATTAAAATATCTACCTCTATTTTATTCCTGACTACCTATACTCTATACATTCTTGTTTCAGTTGATCTAGGAAACCGATTCATCAATAGCAATAATAATTGGAGACTGATGTACCGAGAGTTATTGCCGTTTGCACAAGCCAACTGGAACAAAATTGGGATTCGTGTTTCTAATAAGATATTTTTGAAAATACCCTATGATCAGTTATTTCCTACTTCATCGCGATGATTACATTTAACAACGTGTACTGATCACAATATGTATATTTTACAAACGTACCTGTACCTATATTTATGAACTTAAAATAGAAACATGAAATTAGAGAACTCTGTAATTCTAAACAATGATTTGTCTGTGATATTTACCTAAATGAAAACAACAATATATAAATAAGTACCAATAGGTGTACCTACTTATTTACTTATATAATTATACAAGATGCAAATACAACAGTGTAAGCGATAGTTAGTTATTAGACCTATTGTACCTGTATAAAAAGCATAAAAAATAAAAATCTTTACTTGTTCTTGTTGTTTATCCACTTATATCATATCTAATGGAATCAGTGGCGTAGTTACCTAGGGGCAGTGGCCCAGAGCCCTCAAGCTCAGGGGGCCCTAGAAACCTTACCACAAAATCTCGACCGAACTGAATTTTTCAAAATTTCTCTCATTATCAAAATAAATATGACAGGATGCAACTCGATTTAATCATGGCAACTCAATTGAAAGAAATTCGAAAGTTATACATTCGGAATTCCCAGTTATACGTTTGGAGGCCCCATTTTTTTATTTGCCCTAGGGCCCTTGACTAACTACAGCACTGGATGAAATTATTTAACTGAAATAGAATTCCTAAGTTATAACAGTTATCAGAAAAGTACAAAGTATAAAAATCTATGTTATATATTTAAAAAAACAAACCACCCGGTGAAATTTACAATGTCTATACATTGTGAAAATCACTAGGCGGTTTGTTCACAACAGCTAGGCACTTTTATATATATTTTTAGTTTGTAATCCCGAATACTTCTTTAATTGTATATCTACTATCTATTCTAGGTTGATTAGAATTTTGCACTTGTCTCTAGAATTAAAAGGGAGCCTATAGCTACGTTCCCTTATAGACTACCCATCTCGCTGGGTAATATTAGTTATTGGGCACAACAGCAAACTGTTGTTAATAATAATAATAATCTCAGGACACAGCGCCATCTAGACCCAAGTTAAGCTAGCTAAAGCTTGTGTTATGGGTATTAGATAACTGATACAAATACATAGATACATTTTTTTTTGTAAATACATATATATTAACATAAAAAATACCCAAACCGATACAAACAATCATATTTATGAATATAAATGTTTGTGCTGTGCGAGGAATCGAACCCGCGAACATAAGGCGGTGTGCTAAACCACTAAACCACCGAGGTCGTCGATTAAATATTTATAGTAATAATATTTATGTTTAGGTTCAAAATAATAAGATATAGGGTAATTCTAAATAGGAAAATGAAAATAATTTATATAGCAATTAAATTAAATTTGTAGTCTTTTTAGTGACAAAGAATGTCATTCTTAAATATATTAGTTTTGTTTAGACAAATTAAATAGTTCTTAAAAAACAATGTACCGTTGTGTAACGTAGGTCTCCAATAAAGACCATCGTGGTTAATTCGATGTAAATCCACAACGATATTTCGTCTGACTTCAATTTGTCTTATATCTATAGATATGAAGACATAAAAAAATACAATGTTACCTCGATCTTAATTAAGTCCTACTGTAACATTTTAAGATAAACAGAAAGATAAAATATCTGTGATTTTCTGTGTGCAAACCTTAAAAAAAATTGCACTAAACTAGACAAAGTGATTACTCGCTCAGTCCTCCACACAAACACAAACATCTAATGACAGATCACAGTTATGTCAGTGTCAAAATTGTCAGATATAAATTTTAAACTTGCTCAATGCACTAAATCACTGAATTACTTGTAATGTGATAATAAATAAAAACTTAAAGCATTATTAAAACTAAAATATGGCTGTAATACTGAAGTATATAGTTGCCGGTTTAGTGAGATATTGGCTAATTCATATAGATTATTGGCAAACTATAGCGAATAGGGTGGAAATAGCGACGCCTCTAAACTCTTGGAAGAGGTTAATAGAAGGCGTCTATTTGTATGATCATAATATAAATCCATATGAAGGCGACTCTTTTCACGAGTCCCCAATTATGCTTATATTCTTTTATCACTTGATGAAGAGTGCGCCATTTATTCTTCCAGCACTTTTTACAGTACTGGATCTGCTCACAGCATACCTACTTTACCGTACTTCCAAAGCATTTATAAGTATGTTTAAAGACTCTCAAGAAAGAAAGTTAGAAGAAGTAGCTGAAGAATCAAAAACCATGCTTTTGAATGATTCTCAACTGCAAGAAGCTTCTGAATATGTGTTATCTGTGTATTTGTTTAATCCATATTCTGTTTTGAACTGTGCAGCAATGACTACAACAGTTATACAAAATTTATTGGTAGCGACATCATTGTGGGGTGCAGCCTCTGGACACAGAATTTTGGCTTCTGTATTTGTTGCACTTGCAACACACCAGGCTCTATACCCTGTTCTGTTAATTGTGCCCATTGCTATTCTGGTAGCTGAAGTTAACAAAGGCTGCCACAAATGTTCCTACATCAAAACCTTACTAGTATTTGTGCTCTGCTGGGGATTCTTGATATATATCTCTGCATATATTATGGGAGGATCATATAAGTATGTGTATGACACCTATGGATTCATGTAAGTTTTTATTAGGCATTATGGTAATATTATTATAATCTATTATTATGTATGAACTAAAAATGAAATAATATTATTTTTTCCAGATTGACTGTACCAGATTTGAAGCCAAATATTGGTCTGTTCTGGTATTTCTTCACGGAGATGTTTGAGCACTTCAGGCTACTGTTTGTGTGTGCTTTCCAAATCAATGCACTTGCACTGTATGTGATCCCATTGACATTGAGGTTTAAGAAGGAGCCAGTACTTTTAGCAACAGTCCTTATAGCATTATCTACAATATTTAGATCCTATCCATGTATTGGTGATGTTGGATTTTATATGGCACTCTTACCAATGTGGAAACACCTATTTTCATGTATGTACTTATTTTAATTGATATATAAATGTTTGTATTTTATTAATATTATAAACACGAAAGCTTGTAAGTGGATGTTTGTTACTCTTTCACACAAAAACTTCTAAATGGAATTTGATTAAATTTTACAGTAGAAGAGCTTATACATCAGAACAAGGATATAAATTTCATGCGGGTAAAACCGCAGGCACAACTAGTAAGACATAAAATATAATTATTGCAAGTGTCCTGCCAAATTTATGCTTTAGACTAAATCTGAATTGATGAGTGAGTTCCTATTTACACAGTAAATTTGCCAAAACTATGACTGCCTATTGTAATCAATCTCATATATCAATAAGTGATATAAGATTGGACTCTGATGGAAGATGAATTCTAAGATTGAATATTTTATTATAAGACAGCATTTTTAACAATGTCAATTTATGAAGTAATAATAATAATACACAACCCTATCTAATCCCAAGCTAAGCAGAGCTTGCATTATGGGTACTAGACAAGTCTTAAATATTTTTTTTTGTAAATATAAACTCACACATGTTTCTACCATACAAGGAATCAAATCTGCAAACATCTAAAATAAGGAAATGTGCTAAATTGCTAGTTAATTAATATGACTTATATATATATAACTTAATATATAACTTAATATGAATAATTTTAGTTGACAGTAATAAAACCAAGATAGATATTATTCAATATTCATAATTCTAATTCTGAATAATTTTTATATTAATATATCTGATGTTGCTTAATTATTAAGTATATTATATTAATAAATTATAATTTTGTTTGATTCCAGTTATGCAGCAAAAATTCATAGTGGGTTGTGCCTTTATCATCACATCTGCACTAGGGCCAACAGTTTGGCATCTCTGGATATACTCGGGCTCGGCAAATGCAAATTTCTTTTTTGGAGTAACACTATCATTTGCCACTGCACAGATATTCCTTATCACTGACTTACTTTTTGCATATATTAAAAGAGAATTCACTTTAAAGCATGGCACTTCACGTCAAGTGGATGGCAAACCAGCCAAATTAGTACTACGATAACGACATTTTATGATTAATGTATAGTCACTTGAATAACGAAATGGTTTTAGTTTAATTATGTTGGTTGAAAAAGAAAGGTAGGTACTGACTGTATAAAACTATGTAATGTGACAGTATTGTTACATATTCATGTATTAATGACTCATTTTAGAGTTACATTGCATGTAAATACTCTTGTTAAATACTTACCTTTAGGGGGACTTTAAATTTGGGATAACAACCTGTGGTCGTTGGGTGAATGCCAAAGGGCAAAAGAATTGTTGTAATTTATTCTTTCTTGTAATCTAAACATTTCAATGTATTTAGTCAATTTTGCCACCGTATTTTTAATGTATTCTTATTTCTATGTATGTTTCACATTAAATTTAATATTTATTTATATTTTACTGTAAAATTGCATTTACACTTTATATAATTACTTTGCACAAGATTTGCTGAATGCAAGTGAAGGCAAAATAAGTTTTATCTATGGTTGTGTTTACTTAATTTAAGAGTATAATTAACATAATTATACATGTTTATTAATTTTGCAGCATCAGAACTTATTAAGTTGGTAATTAAATTAATTATTATAACAAATTTACAGCCTATCAGATGGCATTTTTTTATATTTAAATGGCTGTCAAATTAAATTATACCTACTACTGCCATCATTCTTACAGGCTTTATTGGAGTCTGGTCCGATGGCAGCCTTAGGCAGGCTGTTCAGGGTGTTCTGTTTACCAGGAATTTGTCATAGGTTTGTTTACACTGTGCAGTTCAAATGTATGTGCTCTGTCTTGAATGACAAGAAGGACCTATGAACTTGATTATCTTAAAGAACTAATATGTTCATGTTGGAATTTTATATCAATTGTATATGTGACTATATTTTCCTTCATCGATTATTTCTTAGACATGACCAATAAATTATAATAGCTCTTGTAGATTCTGTTTCTTAGTATTTATACAAAAATACCCTGGTCTAAATTTACAGAGAAATACTTTATCAATAATTCCTGTGCAGTAATTGGTTAGAAGGTAATAGTTGTAATAATGCACTAATGGACTTCTCTTAAAATCTTTGTTACTGCATAAATCGTGTTTATGGTATACTTAATGATTTTAAATTTGTGATAAAGCACATTGCCATAGATTAGAGTAGAATTTAATTGTTATTTACCATATTAAATTGTACACAATTTTACCATTAAATAATATTGTATTAATTATTACGTTATTAAATATATGAATATGAATATAACTTTATCTAAGTCAGCTATCATATTTAGTCGATTATAGCAAAGTATTAAACATATAATTTATTGTTCAGTAAAAGTCGACGACCAATTAATATTAAATTGTATCGAACATTGCACTGAATAAAATATTTTTCTTTCTTTCTTTCTTTAAAAAAATATCATTAAAAATCAATCTGTTTATTCTAGAAACTAATTCCGATACAATAATATTGGATTTATTTATGGACGCTGTTTCGCTTTTTATACTTCAGAATTACATTAGTAACGTATTAATTCCATATATTGTGGATGGCCCCTTAAGAAACATTGCCGAAAGAGATTGCTTTGGAACAGTAGTATTTATTAGAACATAATGGGATCGCAATGGAGATTTTTGTTTTATAAAATATATCGTTATATACAAAGAAGTATGTCGAATTATTACCTTAATCCTATAGATCGGTGTTTCAAAACATATAAATAAATTTAATGTCTTTAAATATGGAGCAATGCAACATTTTTTCTACCAATATTAATAGAAGTAATTATCTTATATATTCAATTAATTTTATTAATTAAATGTTATGGGTACTATCTTGAAACTGCCATACAAACATACAAATTTACTACTTTGTCAATATACCATCACTAAAGTTTGTCTTTAAAGAAGTCGATAAAGCCATTTTCTTGTATTGCATTATGTTGTGCTCCGTATATTCCCTTAGTTGTTCTTAGTTACATAACATTGTAAAAAACTGCAAAATATTTTTAATTTCCATTTAATATCTTAAACAGATCTTTTACTACTGGGCGAACATTTTGTTCGCCCGGTAATAAAAGAGAACACTTTTGTATATGTGTAACAATATAATATATTATGGATTCTTTAACTGTATTAGATGTAGAAACGGCCAAACATTTTGATTTCTTACAATTAGGTAGATTCCCAGATCCCATTTAAAACTTAATTATTGTAATATAACTAATGATTGTAAGATACTATATAAAACGAGTTAAGTACTGATTGTTGTCAATAATTAAATAAATTATTTTTAATTAAACATTTATTCATTTCTGTATTACTTATGTGCGTAATTCTTTTAATTAATTTGTTTCTCGACATTATTATCTCAATTTTGTTTTATACAAGTAATAGGCTTGCGATATGACTTTCTGTTATGTGTAACGAAATAAATTTTTTTGTTTGTTTCCCCGACATCGCCGCATATTCACCAGACGCCTTTATATAAATTAATACTTGTACAGGTATCATTTTTATAACGCTTACTATTTAATGAGTAACAAAATATGACTATGTTTTGTACTTACCTGGTAGAGGTTTGTATGTAGGTATAGTCAACTTCATATACTAGACTTGACTACTTTGAGAATAATAAATTCACTAACCTATTAGTAGATAGGACATTTCTTTTCTACAACTCTTATTACAATCAGTGAGTTTAGTAATATTCATTATTGACAATTATTTCATTGTGTGTATTTTCTCATTTTAAATAAGTTAAAACGTTGATTTAGATTTAAGCAACAACCTTTAATAACATTTTATTACGAGATATCTGTTATATTAACATATTTTCCGATTTTTAATAAGACATTAAAAAGAATCCGCCTTTTCTATCTAATCAATGTCATTTAAGACGAATATGTGTAATGATTTGGAAATTGTTTGATAACTTTAAATGTTAAGATAAAATTTAATCTTTAATACCTACCGACATGCTATATGACATTTTTAGCCAGTAGACAAAATAGAAATGGCCCACCTGGCTCTGTACTAATGGATGTTCAGAGGACTTACGGAAGGTATCTGAAAGAAAGGGGACCATATAGTAAACATTTGATAGGACGTAGAGACAAATATAGTTTCATTCATCATTCAATGCGAGTAAATTCCAAAGTACGACAATTTAGATTAACAATGTGTTGTTAAAAAAGCTTTAAATATAACTGCCATGTTATAGACGTAGGCTATTACGTATAATTACTCATGAAAATGGTAAAACTAAATTTTTCATAAAAAAACAGTAAGTGCCTACTTCGCTTTATCTACCAATATGAACAATGATTCACTATCTTATCACTCCCTGCTAAACAACAATCTAGGGTAGGTACTCATTGGCCATACATTGCTGAACGTACGAGCTATTATTATTCCTATATTTTATAATTAGCATTCTTAATGAAAAGAAAACATGAAGATATTGTTCCTTACTTTATTATTCTTTAACTGTAAGTACTTATATTTATTATATTAATTAGAAACTTTTCAGCGTATCGCGTAATCAATAGCTATCTTTGGGTTGTTATACCATGTTATTGTGTTTTTGAATGTTTACTAAATAAACATAATTCGCATTCCATCATCATCATTTCATCCACAGTTTTAATTGTTTCCAAATATTTATTTTTCTATTAATATTTGTTACTTAAGTATATGAAAGTATAAAGATTTTAAATATAGAAACGTTGAGGGTTCTAATCCTGTCAGAGAGTTGCTTATTTCAAACATAAAAGTAAATAGTATAATGGTATACTCATATGTTATATTTTATGTTTTATATAGATGGTGAGAGTGTAATATTACCAAGTGTACCCGATCATTTAGTGCCATGTTATAGACAAGGCGGTTTGCCCTTAGGGGCCCCACGACGACTGGACGTATTTATATCGTTGCTCAAAAAAATTGAAGTGGACTCAAAGCTAGATGCACGTCTCTTATCCACTTCTTTACTTAGAAGGTAATTATAATTATACACTCAGATTACATATATAGTGCATTTATCATGACAATTAGTTACTCTGACGTCACATACAACCTGGTTTTTAATTAAATATAATAGTATTTCTTTACTTATATAAAAACTATAGTTTTGATTATATATGATAAAATGTTTTTTCATAAGTTTACGATTTACGAATAATAATTTTTATACTGTAGTTATGATACTTTTGTTTTTTTTTTGTAAATAATAACGTTAAATGACTTAAGTTAATATTTAACTTATTATTACAGCCTCCGTCTCGACGGCATTGAAGAAGGGGCCTCGGCCATTGAAACTGAGTTCGTTCTACCCTATAGAGCATCAGCATTCCAGTTCTTTAAGTATAAGCTTCTTATGGATTTATTTCTACCTACACAAGAACTTTTAAATGTAGATGAGATATTGGATTTGTCAGAGAAGTGTCTCATGCATAAACTGCTTAGTACAACCGTACGAAGGTGGGAACGAGGAGACGAAGGTGTCGTTTGCCCCGTGATTGCGGAGCAGAGGCAGACTATGGTCACCCAGAGTTCTAGCAGGTAAATAAATTATTGTTATAATAAAACATTAGTGTTTTTATCCCTTGTAGGTGATGTACTTGTCATCTGTCTTTCAATATTAAATATTAAGTTTACCGAACTAGATTCTGTAAAATCGCCTGCTTAGGTAGGTGTGTGTTAAACAAGCGGTGTTACAGTTGAAGGGTGAGGTATGGTAGAAAAATTACAGATATGGCTAGACATGAGTGGTACTACGTGTGTTACAGGACGTTGTTCATGTATAGATGCGATTATTACCACTTACCATCAAGCAAGCCGTCAGCTGCCATTACAGTTACATAAAAAAAGTTTAATATATTTCCGCCATGCTGTAATACTAAAAATTGTTTTTCAGAATAAACAGTCGCTGTCCAATTGAAGAGGGTGTTATTCAAACAGAGTGGGGTCCAATCACTCCCGGTACGATCATATCAGCGGTAGCAGCATCCTTGGAATTTCAGAGAGTTCCCCTCACTGATATCCTCAACCAAAATGTATACAGAGATGGTATATCTGAACCATTAATGGCATCAGCGAGACAAGAGTGGTTTAATGAAATAGAGACCTTTAATGCACAGGAACAAAATGGAACTCCAGAAGTTGATATTAGCAATATATGGGTTGCTACCCTTGCAGGTCAGGACCTGTAATTTTGGATTATAATCTGCTATGCCTTTTACCTAAGTACATATATACTTAATTATAACTACCGATGTTCCCCTGAAGGGGTCTCTTTGAGAAACGTTATCAATTAAATAATTGTTAAACATTATCAATTTAATATTACCTAAAGTATTTACTTACTAATATGTATTAGCGTTATTTTACCTACTTTCGTTAATAAAAAATGAGGTTAAGTATTTTTTGGGTTTACAAAGAAACAAACCGACAATTTAAAACTTTCCTCATTATAATATAGTTTAGACAACTTTTGTGGTGTGCGGAATTCTGTAGGCGGTTACACAAAAAATGGAATCACGATTTGAGTAATTAATAATGAATTAAGACATACTTCTATACTATATCATAAATCATTAATATATATACACAGTTCTCCCTTTCCAATAATGTGATCGCAATTGTGGTCGAAATCGTAGAACGGATTTATAACATTACTATAATTTTTTTAACATTTATTTACAGGTGACTTGGCAGAAGTGGTGATTAATCAGGGTCCAAGATACGGCCCTTCACCGCAGAATCTCGTGGTGGGCACCAACAATAGATGGAACGATACCTTGCTGCCCCGGGAACATTATCTCTTGCTCCAAAACTCAACTCCAGTAGATTGGCAAATAACTGATGCTGAAATCTTGGCTGGTATAGATGGTAGGTGATTAATGCATTTTATATCTTTTTCTCTATTATATTGCAGAGTTATTAAGTGAGAAATGTCAATTTATTTTGCAACTAAAATAATAAAATAGAATGATGGAATTTTTTCAAATCCAAACTATTTTAAATAGACATTACATGTATATTATATAATATACATATAATGTATTGGAATATTTTATATATTTACAAAATTTCATAGTTTTCAATTATACTAATAACTGTAGATATTATATAGTTAGAAAAATCGTCGTAATATTTCCAAATGCTTGTTAAATAAAATCTATCGGTTTTCTTATTTTGAATTATTTTATTATCGACTTGAATATAAATTGTAATAAGTTGTTTGTTTGTTTATTAATTAACTTTCCATTTATATTTTTTTACTGTTTAATAAATGTAATTAACCCCAATCTTTCAGGTCTAATCCTAGCTCAGTACATGCCTACTTGGCTGGTGGAGCGTCGTACTTTGAAGATATCGCAGGTTCTTGAAATGTACTACTCTAATGAAGGAGTGTCTTTCGACACTAAAGTGCGCGCATGTGACAGAGAAACCTTGTTCAAAAACTTGTTTAATACGTCCCAAATTGTGACGGAAACATCACGCCTGGCTCGTGTTCTATCTCTATCACAGGTCACTGTGTATGTTCCTTCCGAAGTTATGGATAGAATCAGTGAAGCTGTTGTTGTTGCGTTTGAAAAATATCTTCGTAAGTACATTTATTTAAGGCTTAGCGAACCCTGCCCCCTTTGTCTTTTCACGGTTATTGCAGTTAATTTTTAACCTTTACGAATTGTACACCCAAATCTTTCTTAACAATCACTGAGTTGATGGGAAACCGCATTAAAATCCGTCTAGTTTCAGATACAGCCTTAAATCGGAACAGTCAATGGTATGCTCACCTGTTGAAAAAAATAAATACAGCATATTATCTGTTTCTTTTTACGGTACGAAAAATAGGCAATATTATAGTATTTTTTTTAGTGTATGGTAATGAAATGACGCTGGCGGGGCACCAGTGAAGAATGATAAGATGAGCATGAGATCAGGTCAGTTAGTCCATTGTGACAAATTTACCAGGAATTTATCATGATAGTTTCCAGGGGAAACCGCGTGGAGGTTAATCAATCAGCGGGGACATGAATCCAAATTTCAGTTGTACGGTCTGGAATTTATAACAGCCGCGTTACATTAATTATAATATTTTTTTATATATATAATAATAATAATATGATTTATTTATTTCTCCTCACAAACATAATGGCAACAATAGATGTAGTATTTTTTATAGTAAAATACTTAAATTTATTATTTAAATTTATAAACCGTTATGGCTTGGTTTACTATACGTCGAGCGAATGGTCGTGAGTTTAAATCTGACTGACATCAAACTTATTGTGTAATAATTTATTTTTCTGAATGACTCTCCGGTGATAGTAACACTGATTACGGACCATACCAATCCCAGAGAAGAAAAGGCTCTTAAATGTGGACATGGCAAGTATTGACACTTGACAAAGCCTCTGACAACCCTAACAGGTCATATTGATATCGAGCCATGTGGTCATGCCGTAATATAAATCATTGGTGCAAAAGCCTGTCTATGCTTCGAATATAAGTATTCTTAAAAGAAAAAAAAACATTCGATTCAAATTATGCTTTTCGTCTTTATACCTTCATCCGTTGACTGCTTTCTCCATGAACCAACATAATTAATATATAGAATGTAGACATATAAATAAATTTTGCTTGTTTCAGCATCTGTACTGAGCAGGTATCATACAAATTGCCAAAACAGTGCCAGTGTCCCAGTTATGGATTTAATTGTAGCAACTGATGGGTCCTGGAAAGGTTATGAAGTCACACAGTTCATGTCGTATGTAATAATTTGTATATACTATTTTTTATATATATATATTTCAACGAAATGATATCACTTTTATTAAACTTGTTAAATTTTGATTACCAGCTATAATAAATTTCACGGCCTCGGTGGTCTAGCAGTTTAACATACCGCCTTACTTCCGATGGTCGCGGGTTCGAATATTCGCACGATACAAACGTTTGTAGTCGTGAGTATGATTGTACCTGTCTGGGTGTTTTCTATGTATATTATGTATGTATTTACAAAAAATATATATCTTTGTTTTTATATCAGTTGTTTAGTATCCATAACCCAAGCTAAATATATTGTATATGCTTTTTCTTTATTTGTGACACATCTATCTATCTATCTAAATTCAGCTTGGGTTATGTGTATGTGATAAGATAGCACTGTGTGAATTGTCCAGGGATACTATTAGTATAAATTACCTGTGATCCGCGACTTCGTTTCCATTTTTTTAGATAATGGAATAAGCTATGATCGTCATTGTGATACAATCTATTTTCACGTAAAATTGCTTTATGATTAAATCAACAGTTAAATCGTGAAACAGCAACGAATAGACACATTTGAAGTCTTAAATAAAATAAATTCGAGTTTTTCGTTAGAACGTTTAGGTGTATTTTATCTTTTTAAAATAAAAACGTAATAATAATAAACGATAATCTTCTAATTGGGGTGTATAAAATTGCGAATTTTGAATATATTATGTAGATTCTTTTCTTTTTTTATTACATAGACGATCATTAAGAAAGGTTTTTCTAAACTTTCTACACACGGGAGATAACTGGTTGGTGCGAATGAAACAGCGGTAAATAGCTATTAATATATAACAATATTAATTGTCATACTTTACACATAATGGTTCTTATAGCCGTAAATTTTTTGTTCCCTAAGTAAATAATTACGGTCGTCCATAAATTACGTCACACGTAACAAGGAGTTAGGGGCTCGACAAAGTCTGACACTGAATAACAGGGGTAGCCAACAGGTCGATCGCGATCAACCGGTCGATCACGACTGTTAGTCCAGTAGATCGTGGCAAGGCAAAAAATATAAATACGTAGACCAGACTGCGCAACGTAATCGTAAAAAAGGTTGGCAATTTCCAACTACAAACCTGATTATGCTAAACTAGTGGAAGATGCTCAGACGCAATACTCACACTAATATAAATATAAATAAGTACCTAGTTACTAAGAATAATTTTCACATTTATGTTTTCTCTCTTAATAAAATAAAAGAATACTGCATTTTTGTGTACTGAACTATGCTATTTCATTTTAGATTTCAATAAGTATGTAATTGATACATCGCATAGGGTTTAATAGTAAACAGGAGATTTTGGGTCTAATCAAGTTGGCCATTGTTGCTGTATAATAAGGGTTGCAGATGTCATGAAGTTCATGTTGAAAAATAATGAAACTTAGGTTTTCTGCAAGCAACCAGGACGGGGGACTTAGATTTTCTCATCAACATCGCATTTTAATTTTAGTATTAAAATAGCAAAATTCAGCTATTTATCTAACCAGCTGAGACATGCAGAGGGGGGAGGGGTGGACGTAATATATAGATGGCCTCTTAATGAATAATACAACTGTTGCCAATTTTCCATCCGGCGTTGAGTCATTTTCAAGGTTCGCATATTAAATTCCGATCATTATCAAACCCTCTTGTATATACTGCGCACATTATACTGGGTTACGATATAACAAACATAATGCTGTTTGCTCTATTTAGTAACATTTTCTAATAATCAATTAAATAAATAATTAAATTATTTGTACTTACTAAAGTAAAAAAATACTCTATATATAGCTAGAACATAGTCTACATAGATGTCCCCCGCACTGGCCTAGAGGTAGTTAAGTAAAATAGTTGTAATTTAGATTCTAATTTCAGATTTATAACAGTTAAGTTCTAACGCCCGAAATGTACTATCTAATTTCCTACTCACACGCATTCTTTACACTAATTATATGGTTAACTGGTTATTACAAATTTAAGAATAAAATCCAACACATTTAAAGAAGTACATACCGTACATAAAGTGCTTTCAGACTGTATATCATTACTCATTACACTAGATTTAGAGATTTAAAAAATGGAACAAGTCAGCAAAGTCCTGACGTAATCAATAATTCCGTTACTTTTTTTTAATATACCTATATATTGCAAATAGTAGGTTGTACTTACATTTTCAGCGACGTATTAAAAAGTTTTCTGCGTGGATATCAGCTTGCTTTGTAAGCTTTGTTTCGATATACCCTTAAACCGAAACAAAATTTACAAAGCAAGCTGATTGGTGGCTGAACAGAAGTTCAGTCGCCGAAGCATTGCATGACAAAAGGCATTGAAATTACTGGATTAGAGCATGACATCTCAGTCTTCCGCAAAGGAAACGCATTAAAAACTAAAAATGTTATCACTTAAATGATAACGTGATGTACGTAGTGCTTTTCTTGACTTCTGTTACCAACTACCGTCAGCTGAGTCGTCAACTGCAAGTTAACAACTACATCAAAAAGAAAATAAGGTTAATGAATAACAAAATTAATTAAATAATTCTAATAAAATCGTGCGATTAGATGTCAATTATATCAAGGAATATATTATCACATAGTATGTAAATTCCTTGAATACCATACAATGTTACACGTGTACCAACGATTACGTGACTTTTTTTATGAACACTTAAATTATCTCATACTAAAATCATGTAGATAGATCATAACAGAATTATATCTGTTAACTGTCACAAAATTACAAATAATATTTCTTGTAAGTAATTTTTACTCCGTTGGAAGAGTTCGTGGTGCTACCTCAGCATTGACCTAGTTTTAATATGGACGGAGCATATAACTACTCAGTTTTCTTTAGTTTAGGGTATTTTGTGACACAGTGAATTTCTTTATATGTATTAACAAATATTTATATGTTTGTAGTCTTGTTCGTATAAATCATTAACTGAATTTTAACCTAAGTATAATGGTGTACACTCCCGAAAGTAGTGCAAAAAAAAACGATTACATGTTTATCCTTAATACATTCCTGACTTATTTATCTGATTGCGATAACTATATAAAACTAGAGATCCATATAATTATTAAATAAATCAAATTATTGCACCAGCGAAAAGCAGATCAGAATCGCTAGTATGTAATAATAAAATGTCAATAAAAAATATAAAGCATTGAACTTAACGTCGCTAAAAGTACATTTGCAATAATATGTTATTGTTTCATCATTATTAAGCAAGCCGCCTATCACGTCCATAAATATATTTTAACCGTTATGCTGTTAAGCCCTAGCAATATGTATTTTTACAACTATTCGCGGAAATTGTAGTTGACACATACAAAATATTTTTATAAGTTCCAAATAAATAAATTATTATTAATTAATTAGCAAATCAAACATAAATAATAATAATAATCTCAGAACAATTCACACACTAGTTTTGGGATAGTCTGGAATTCCATCAGATAAGTAGCATTTACCTAACATCATAATCAATCCGTCTTATATGTAGGATTTTCTAATAAATTCATATTGACTATACCTAACTTCTACGCTGGGACGGAGTGGCTTGTTACTAGTGGCCCATGGGCCCTAGCTATGAGTCCTATCAGAATGCCTTTCACGTCACTCTTAAGACCATTGCGATTTATTCCTGGTGATTAAGCCAGGATGGCCTTCGATATAATCTTCATCCTTCTCTGGTGGCCCATTAGCACAACAATTGTGCCACTGAAATTATAGTCATGACATTGTAATGATTTTCTAAATACTTATTTTATCATTTTAGGTGGTTGGGAAATGCTCTAGAAATAAACATGCAGAGAAGTACATTGGGTCTGTTACACGGTAATACTGGCCAATGGATTGTGCCATCGTCTCATAACATGACTACTGTATTCTCTCACATCGGCAACTTTACTGATGAATGTACGTATTTGTGGAGGTATATTTCTGCAACCCTAAAGTTGTCATTATCATACACCCCTGAGAAGGGGACAAATAATAAGTTTAAATAATTTAGATAAGTTGCCAAAAAATATTCCTCATTAATATTTTATTCTAATTGAAAATTCCTCAGAATGAATAATTGAATTCTATTATGGAATTTCTACTCGCTAAGTTATTAAATATACTTTTAAATTAATTATAATTATAGTTAGCAACGTTACAACAGATAATTTTGGGACAACTTCTAAACTTTTCTTTTAAAACATATTTTTTCAAATTTCTTTAAATAATAACCTCACTAAATATTATAATAACTTCACAAAATAAAATTAGTTTGCCTAAAATTCGAATTGCCAAATAATTCTTACACCATTGTCCTATGCATAATGTGTGTGCATATTTTTTTTCATGCGGAATCCTTACTATATAATATTATAAATGCGAAAATAACTCTGTCTGTCTGACTCGCTTTCACGCCAAAACTACTGAACCGATTTAAATGAAATTTGGTACACAGATAGTCTAGACCCTGAGAAAGGACATAGGCTTACTACTTACCATACTTTTTAATGCGAAAAAAGGGTTGTAAGGGGTTGAAAGATTGTATGGAAGAATCGTCATTTTTGAAGCTAGAAGCTTTTAGCCTTTTTAGTTTTTAGCCTATTTATGAAATATATGTATATTTAGAACTTTTTCTAAATATACATATATTATATTACATATATATTACATATATTTCTAAATTACATATATTAGAGTTATAAGGGGTTGAAAGTGTTATGTATGGAAGTGTCGTCATTTTTGGAGCAAAAAGGATGAAACTTTTTCATTTAGTTTTCATTGGGTTAGTTCATTAAATATTTTTTCATTATTCGTCCTCGTAAAATAGTGACCTTGACGTCACTATTTTACGCGGACAAAGTGGCGGGAACAGCTAGTAATAGTACAGCTTCTATAAACTAGCCCAATGTTTGGACTAATAAAATTGTTAGATACTATAGCATTTATATTTTTTAGGGCCGAATCGCTTAAACATTCCAAACATTTTATCAAATATTATCGAATATTCTCGTAACAAGACCCTCTTGAATGTGGAGACTAAAGCAAGTGCAGCCCCTAGCACTGTGGTACTAATTGTAAGCCCCAGCGATCAGCCTTCCACTGCCGACTTGGAACGCGCCACCTCGCTCATGAACTCTCTGAGATCTAGCTTTTTCGATGTCTACTTTGTATATGCATCGAAGAATCTCGAAGGATTTCAAAATATAAACACTGAATATTTGGATTATTCAGAAATATTTTTGCAGGTATATCATTCCTATACATATATATTCATGTATTAATTATAATTTAATTTTTAACCCTGTTTGAGCAATAGTAATAGCATTAGCATAGCATTGACCCAATGTATTTTTCATAACGTCAAAAGTTGTCATAAAGTCTACGTTGGCTCGTCTAGTAAAATTTACATACAAGGAGACTTAACAATTATTTTATGTATTATTTTGGTTAAAAAATATTTACTATCCGTGTAGTGTAGACTAAGAAAACAATTAGGTACTTATGCCAACATTTCGCTCTCAGACTTTCGAAAGAACCTTGCAGTGGAACAAAGTACAAGATACCGGTGCAAGAACAGTAAATATAATCATATAGCAAACTGTTTGGGCAGAATGGTTGTAGTTAATACCTACTGCGGATACTAGATTTGTAGTAGGTACTCTGTATGTATGTCCTCGTCTTATAATGGGAGACACCCCTGCACAGCAATGCATAATCAATGGAATTGGACTATTGGATAACAAAACACTATGTCTGGGTGGAAGGGAATGGGGAGTAGTGGCGCCATTGCTACTATTGTATCACATCAGATCGACCTCCACGTCCCCCTGGAAGAAATTATTTGTAATTCGTAGCGAATATCGTATGATGTGATAATTAAACGGGCTTCATGCTGATTCCACTATTACCTTGCCAGTGCTAACACAGTTACGTCATTCCATTAATAGCCATTAAAAAAAAATCATTAATGTTTCTATCCGTTTTGAGTTAATGTTTAGAATACATATTATACAGCCCACATTATTCAATATACATGGTTTTAGCTATCGTCATCAAATGTACAAGACGTCATCAAATCTGTTGAGATTAATATGGTTAAAAGTGAAATTCCAACGAGCATAATGGGAGTACATTGTCCATTTAATGGGACGGTCTTTGAGCAACTGGAATATGAGGATTTTGTGTTACCGAACCAAATCATGGCTTACCGCATACATCCATTTTATTTGCGACAACAACCAATTATTGCCGTACAGGTTAGTTTCTAATCTATACATATGGTGTATGTGTGGTATATTCTAATATTTCTATTTTGTTTCCGTTGTTAAAATAAAGGACTGTATTTTGGGTTTTATGAATGGCAAATAACCTGGCATTCATTCTGCCTATTATGATCATGCTTTTTATATGTTTAAATTCTTCTGATACCGTTTATAACTTTGAATAGTAAAAGCAATCCTACTAATATTATAAACGTTAAAGTTTGTGAGTATGGAGAGATGTTTGTTACCCTTTTACGCAAAAACTACTAATTTGTTGAAACTTTACTGTTATATAGCTTATACATCAGAATAATATAAAGGCTATAAATTTCAAGCGGGTGAAACCGCGGGCACAGCTAGTAATAACATATGTGCGCCATTGTCATAATCATGATAATGTGCTTGATGTTTTCTAATATGTGGCATAGATGGCGCGAAGATCGTACCATTTAGTATAGTGACGCCATCTGTGACAGTTAAAAGCAATCCATAAGCAAACATTATTAGCGCCATCTACACGACTTTCTATTATTACAGAATCTATGGTAGACTTAGTGACGTTCTATTTATTATTATAACCTATGTATTGATCTTTTAAAAATACATATAAACTATTTTATTCTTTTTAAGTTTCGCAACAATGGACAAGGAGAGTTGTTAGTTTGTACATACCGGGGAGCAGAAACATCTCAAAACTGTCAAACTCTCACTGAAAGGGAATATCACATCTTTAACTTGACCACTCCATGCGCCACTTCTGATTTTTGTCTTCCAGCTTACTTTACTGTCAGCGCCCGTTCATCTTCAAATTTATGTGCAAGTAAGAAACCATATAATTCTTAGAACTAACAAAAAGTTGTCATCGACCGACTAGGCCCCGGGGGGATTCGAACCCCCGATCTCCTGTTTACTAGACAGGCGCTTTAACCAACTAAGCCACGGCGCCGTTGTATTTCAATGCGAAAATAAAGATGTCTTACTGTTATTACGAATTGTAAACAAGTATTAGAATATGTTTTTATTATAAAGTGAATAGGTATCTTCATCTTTGTATTAATATTGCTGCACAGTTTTTATCAAAGAAAAGTACGGTCATTGCCTGTGTTCTATTGTTTTAATATTAATTGTATGAGGTGTTTTTATCTACTGACGTCAAGTTAGTACCTATACAATAAACTTTATCAGGAAGAGTAAATTCCTTGGGTAAGTTTTATTATAAAAAATATATCATCATCGTTAACTATATATGTATTGCCATCCAAAATACTTAACTTACCTACTCACTCTATGGTTAAATTTGAGTAACTTAAGTATCTTTAAATTGTATAAATAGTATATATCTAGTTCACTAAAACACACGTCACAAACAAGACATGATGTGGAATATGCAAATATTTTGATGGAAAGGCGGTATTGTATAAAGTATTAATTGTAGGCTATTGATATGACATATCTACGCACTGGCTAAGTATTTGCGGGTACGTATTACCATACCCTATATAAAATTAATCATACATTGGTGCCATGAAAAACAAGTTAGATATCTAATAAAAATATTTTGCCTATTATCTATATTAATACAAAGAGAGGAGCGTATTTTGTGAATTGGTATGTATGGACTATTTGAAAAATACTTGAAAGGTGTTTGTTTCAGATAAATATTACCTATCTATATATTTTTTATATCACAAGGGCAGCAAATAAACAACAAATTGAACAATATAGAACATTTCTTGATAATTCATGAAAGCCAAAGAATTGTGCTTAAAATATAATAATTCAAAATATGAGGTTTAGAAATATTAAAAAAAGATTCGTGGAGTTCTTAAAGAGCTAAATCGTAAAAAATATACAATAAAATACATTTATTCAACAGATTTTCAATTATTTACTTTTTGGAAGTATGTTTAATCTCATAGATAGGTTTTTTATTTCTTTTAACTTTTGTACAAACTAAAAGTACATGCCAATCCCTTTGTAAACTAAAACTAATAACTACATTACCGTACCAGTGAGCAAATTGCCTTAGCCGCACTACCTGAAGGATCGGTTAAAACGCTTTGTAGGGCACCAACATCCTTAGATACTAATTACTAATCGCTAATATTTTTTTAACAGATAATGATTGCCGTCGTCCTAATCAAGTAGGATACTACCTGGAGCACCGCGGCCTAAGATGTTTACCGCTGCGTGGAACTGCAATATGTCAATCGCCAATTTTGGTTCTTATAATGCTATCAGTTGTAATCTCATTCATTATTGTACAATAGACTGTATTAGTTGTAATAGATGGATTGTTGATTTTTTAAAATTATATTGTAATTAAATTCGTGTGATTTTATGAGGTTTTCTTTTAAGAAATAATTTATAAGTACCTACATACCTACATAACACACATATAGGTATGTGTCAAAACGAAATACGATGCACTAATAATAACAGACGTACTACAGTCTCATACACATTCATACCTTTTCTCAATAGATATTAAAATATGTTATGTTTGTAAATTTATGTATAATAAAGTATTAAAATTTAAAAGATAAATTAATAAACTCTGTAAATGCGCATATCAACTTTGAAAATCAACGTCATTTCTTTTTATATTAAACGCAACGAAGGTATTAAGAAATGATTTTCGTAAACCCTCATGGTCAAGTCTTTGAAATTTAGACGAGCAAATACACAGCTATTAGCCAGTGTATTATGTTAGATAATTCCCATATAAACAATTAACTTAAAATTGTATTGTGAAATCCTCCGGAGATAAAAAAAAAGTACACGAAAACTTTTTATTATAATACGTATATTTAATGTTAATTGGCAAATAAAATACCATTAAATAGGCTATGTTAAAGAACCGACAATAGATTTATATTAATAATGCGTACCTACCAAACATGACACTTTAAAAGCATTGCAAACATTTTTTGTATTTTAAAACTTCTATATCACGTAAAACCGAAATTCACACCTTTGCATAATACTGTGATAATGCCAAGCCAAAATCTATATGTACTCTACCAGGTCGACCTCTACGTTGTGCATAGATTCAAATAGATTTCTTCTTTGTCTCCACAAAAGTTCATGTGATTTTTTCTCACAGAACACAGTAGTAGTAACTTTGCTCTGTGGCGTTTACGATATCTTTTGTCTTTTGAACAAAAATTATAGCAGTAAGGAAAAAATAAGAACTTTGTACCCCTGGTGGGACTCGAACCCACAATCCCCGGCTTAGGAGGCCGATGCCTTATCCATTAGGCCACAGGGGCTTGTAGAGAACTATCTGAAATTAATAATCAGTTTATTTCACAATTATCTTAAAATAAATATTTAAAAATAATTTCATTTTAATCATTAAAAATAATTTTAATTACATGTTTACTCATTTAACGCGAGATTTACTTCCAACTATAAAGTAACATGTCTTCAAAATTACAATAAATTTAAATTTTATCGTTGAAAGTAATTGTAATTAATTAATGTAATATCTAAAATATATGAATAGGTTCTAACACACTTGTCTGCTACGTTAGGCCATTTGTGAAATTTTATCACTGTAAACATTTACTCTGAAGGAAGATAGATGGCGCTATTGGTACTTTTCAGTTAGCTTTAAAATAATTGTACTTTCTATTTCTATTAATAATATGAGGTAATAGAAAGAAATAAATTTTATCTTATCATAATATTTATGAATATAAAAGTATTTTTACTGAAGAGTACATTAATTTGGAATATTCTTTTGTCGACTCCGTGGCGCAACGGTAGCGCGTCTGACTCCAGATCAGAAGGTTGCGTGTTCAAATCACGTCGGGGTCAATATGTCTTTTTGTTATGTTTTTACATAACTTAAAAAGAAATACACGTTATAAACATAATTAGCAAAATTATTTTTAAAGATTGTATAGTTTTAAATTATTTCAAGAAGCGTTCAGGCGGCATGTAATATTTTTATATCGATTATAAAAAAAATTGAATTTATATATATAGTTATATTGATTATAAAAAAAAGTTTTAGATATTAATTTTCCTATATTAATTAAAAATTTGTTTAGTTTTTAACTATATCTAAATATATCTATATCTATAGTACCTACATGTTAGTAGTATATATACTACCGAAGTAAGTTGCTCTAGTTATTTTATATTCCATTTCTAGTAGTGTAACAGATACCTACGCCACAGATAATATAATATTACCTCCTAAGCTAAATGAATTTTGACTTCGATGAAAGACTTGTCTAAATTAAGACTACATTTTAGAAAATGAAACCTGTGTTTTCATTTTCAGGCACACCTACCTACAGTTAGATTGTAAGAAACAATACGATCCAACAATTTGTCAACATATTTATAAAAATATCGTATGACCGATGTGCGTGTCATATGAGTAGGTAGTTAATAACAACAATAAACAATTCCGACATACTAAATGTCTGCAATAAATGTTCATTGCTTTTGGTTTACTTCAAGCTAGTTTATGTGGGTTTTTCAAATGGATTAGTTTATTTTGATTGTTAGCAAGAGTATGGTAAAATTAACCATGTAAGGTATTGGTATTGTTGGAAATATCGAGGTGTCACGATTACTCATGACATGAAGGTGCACTTGAGGAATAACATATATTTATCCGATTTAGAATTACACACACAGATTAAGTACGGCGTGTTCAAATTACATTTTCATACAGTGGTACAATTATTATACGGCCATGTGGATTTTGTACGAAGTCGCCTGCGTGTATTCTATCTGTTTATTTCTGCTGCTAAGCAGCTTACTTACTTACCTTTGTTATGGTTTAAAGGGCAGTAATGTGGTATGTGTTATTGTGCGTCTATAACCTCGTAAATTTAGTCACTGAATACAACGGGAATCAAAATACATGATGATTTAATGTCTATGTGTTCGTATACGATGACTGCCACATCAGTAGAGCCATTAACTTGTATATGTTTCTAGTTATTTATAAATATTTTGCACACAACACTGTAGGCTTTCTGGAGTGACAATTGTGATGGCTTAAGGTACTGGAGGAATGTATTGTCTAAGACTAAACGAGCCTGCCTGTTGTTTGGTCTCACTGTAGATTAATTTATAGAATATATATTGTAAGTATACATGTTTTATGCGGCATGGTAAACTTTTTAGAATGTCTATGTCTATATATCACTATAACCTTTCGATTAGTGAAATATGTCTGTTTGGTATATTTACACTTAGAAGCTAGAGAGTTATTTATACGTTTTGCTTAAAACCAGAAAATACTACAAGAATATAAGTTTAAGTAAATACTTCTATAGTTAATACAATAGAGGTCTTCTTTCTAATGGTTAACCTGTGAAAAAAGTTGTAAGAGTAGAAATAAATTAAAAAAATAAAGTTAGTAGTAGGTGTTGTGTGATTGCCAATTGAATCTTGAAGTTCAATTATTTATTTAAATGTGTCAATTATGACTGTGGTTATAGTATTGTAGTTGTGTGAAGGATGGAGATCAAGATGACGAGCAAAAAGTAAAACGGCACCGTAGTAGTTGATAGAATATTTTTGTATAATGAATTGACTTATGTCATATAAAAACAATATAATATTATAAAAAATATAGACAATAAAAAGGTATATAAAATAATTTCCAACAAGTTGAGATAATACAATTAAAAATACCTACATAATTGAATTTATTGCTTTGCTCACGACAAGTTATTGTATTATTTACAATGGTATTAAAGTAAAAAAAATACTTTTTAGTAACATAACAATAGAACAGTTACAGAAGTAGAGACGTTTATTAAAGTTTAAATAAATTATGTTTAAATATTAATTTATTTGATATGTCACTTACTAATTATCTAATTATATTAGTAATACAAGTTATATACTATAGATAGTATATAACTTGTATTGAAAAAGTGACATGATTTGGATAGATATCTAAAAAAGATTATTAATTTAGAATAAAAGTACTTATATTAAAACTGAAATAATTTCGAATCTTCTATTTATTAAAGAACAATTTGGTTAAATTCCGTAAATAAATATATATACACAAATACGACCTTGGACTTAATGCACAGGGCCATCTACTCACAAACAGAGTACTTGTAGTGTAAATTTTAGACAACTGGTATACGCATACATTTTTCCGTAAATATGTATATAGGTACTATGTATGTATGTACATAACATGAAGAAAATGCTCAGATAAACACAAAAATGTAGATATAACCCAAGAAAATTGGAAGATGGATACATTTATCTAATTGCATCATTAGGCAGTAGCCAGTTCACCATCAGGTACTAGCGCAAACGTTAAAACGTTTGTTTTATTTTATTTAAGTTTTATTATCATGCATTATAAGCCTGAGTTTATACTTTCAGAATTATCGAATAATCGTATTTTGAATTATGAGGACCTACAAGTTAAAATTGATAAACTAATCTCGGCATAACAAAATTCATAATATATATCAAATTGCTCAACATAAACAATATTTAAGTACTAGTATATGTTTAATATAGTATACGATTATGTGTTTGGAGGTGTGGCATGTAGGCATGTCATTAGTATATTGCTATAATTTGTTTGTTCAGTTGTTATTTATAGGCGGATATGCCATAGGCATCTATGTATCGCATTAGATATGATTCGATTAATCTTTCCATACTAAGTACATAAATATCATCATAGTAAAAACCACTCAAGTGTTTTACGTCATATTATGGTATGTACTTATGTAGATTATAGACGACCCATTTAGAAATTATGTAAAACTGGGTTATTTGATAACCATATATATTACCATTACCATTTCAATATTGCCGTGTATCTATGTAGAGACTACACTTTCAGAATATAATGAAATAGAATAGTTTTATTGTTCTAAAGTCAGATATATAAAAATATTCTATTCAACTATGTAGAAAGAAGACGACGAGCTGAGGCGAGACGGTCTGGTGACCATTCGTTGTCGGTGTTGATTTCGCTGGGTGGCGCGGCGGTTGGCGCCATTACGTTACCTACACAGTAAGCGAATATCCTTGTGTGTTGGCCTGCATAATATTTCCAATCTCGTGCATGTACACGAACACACCTTCTATTCGTCTATGTGTGAATGAAGGTTTGTTTGTGTTCCACTTCGAGGTCATCGGTGTAGACACTGGTGCACGAAACAAGCACTGTTTTTATAAAAATGTTCAATGTTCATTTATTTAGCACTTTGAGGATATGATGCGGTCACACCATGTGATTTGGGTTACGTTAAATTATTTTTAAAGGTAAAGTTAATATGGATCGTAGGCATACATATTATTGATTACCCAAATTTTCCAATGGCGAATTGAATTATTTTCCAGTAGTAACACTTAGTCGATATGTCGTATAGATTTAGT